ATTGAGTCTCTAAACAACTACGTTTGTGTTTAGTCTGTATTCTAGGAGTCGAAACTCCAGAATACATCACATATACAGTAATCGACCAGGTCCCAAACGCCGCTCCCAATGAGGAGAGCCAATCATAAGTGAGATTCCAAATGACTTCAACAAAGTATGGACTGGTTTATCGGCTCCAAAGCCAAGAAAAAACCTTACGGTTTTATTTTTGGCCGGCTGCGCAGCCTTCTCCGCCTTCACACTTTCCGCCCCGCATCTCCAACACAACAGCGCGCTCCGAGCGTGCCGCACGCCGCCCCCGCCGGCCACCCCGGACCCGAGTACCCTAGGCGGCCCCACGCGCCCCATGCAAGGATCCGCCGAAAGCAGCTACAAAATCCGGCAGGGCGGGCATTATGCTGCCGGTTTTGGTAGCTGTCACCCAAGTACGAGGTCATGCGCGCTCGCTGACGGTATGAGAGGGGTTTTCTATTGTGTGTGGTTTTGTATCGGGACTGACGGGAATCCATGCGCTGTGTTTAAGCTGTAGGATGGCGATGACGGGTACATTTGCGCCTTGAATTCGATTGTCTATGTTGTATGAATAGGAATGTATTAAGCGTTAATACAAGCTGTGTGATCCTACGACTTCAAGTCGTTTTGCTTCCATTGGTGACTAGCTGGTGTGCAGCGGTCGACGATGCCACTGTTCGCTTTGCGGGTGATGAATGCTGAGCAGAGCGCGTCGTAGGCAGGGCGGTGGTCAACGCGCAGCTTTCTCCAGCGCATCCGTCGACCCCGCGGTTTTGGATCGGCCTTTACCGTCGATACTCCCAAGCGCAGCGTTGACCTTCTTGTCCAAATCGTCCGCTAGCATCCAGACACGCTGCTTCCACAGCCGATACGCGACGCCGTCCCGGTCCAGTGGCGCCGTTGGTAGGTCTACCTCTCGCCCTGCTGCTATGATCATGTGTTGACGCCTGCCTTGAGGTCAGCGCGAACAAACTATTGTTTCTTTTGGGTTGCCGTGTGCCACAGCTCGAGTGTGTACCAGTTGTAGAAGCAGCCAGCAAGAGAGTGCGCTTCAACGACGGTGTCAGTGCTCGCCTGCGGGGCCTGGCCAGCACAGCGACAAGGAGCAGGACCGTCAGCGCTGGTGGACTTGCTCTCGTGGACCGCGACGAGCTTCTGAAGTGTGCGCTGCATTGCTGCGATGGACGATAGCATCTGGGTGACGGCTGCGGCAAGTATGGTGGTATTTCCATTGATGCGTTCACCCAGCTGTCCGACGTTCTCCGTTTGCCAAGCCGTGCGAAGCTGCCGACCCCAACCAATGCACGTATCCAGCGAGAGCCGAGCTCCCAGCGCTACGTTGGTTGCGTCCAGAGCTTCGTGGAAGCGGTACAGGTAATGCGATGTGAAGCCTGGGACAGCCTGCTCCTGCTGGACTGCCGTCGCGACGTCGTCAAGATGGATGAGCAGGGACGCGAGCGCCGCATCCAGGACTAAGGCGTCAACGTTGAGCGTGGTGTCCGTGAAGCCGCTCGCATTCTTGAAGAGCTGGCCGCGCAGGGTTAGCAGCTGGGCGTACTCGAGCGCAGGAAGAAGCTCGCTCAAGGTGGCAATCGTGGGCGTGACGCATGGCAGGTGCGGGTCTCGGTATCCAGCGAGGACTTTGCCGACACTCTGGTCCTCGCGTGTCGTGGTACCCACGTACGCGAATGCCTTCGTGAGCGAGTCCAGCAGCCAAACTCCCCGGGTCGAGATCCACTGGATCGCAAGCTACGGTGAGGCGTTTGCATACGCTGCGGAGCCGCGGCGCACGGAGTGGCTGTTCAGCCCTGCGGTGAGCGTCGGGGGCAGTGGAGCAGAGGCTTGGGCTTGGCGCCCGCAGACCATGGTGATGGCGTCGTTGATATACTTGGACACGTTGGGCCTTCCTCTCACGCGCTTTGTTGGTGGCTCGTTCCTTGGTCCAGCTTTCTCTTCAAGGTTCTCCCAGTAGAGTATAGCTTCGTCTAGGCTGTTGGTCTTATCCCCTGGCAAATCCGATGCCGCCGCGTGCGACACTAGCGGGAGCACATAGCTGGAAGGCTCCGACGCTCCGACAAACAGCATTCCGAGGCCGTGCAGCATACACTGCTCCCAGTGAGTCGCGGCCTTGTAATTTGAGATGCCTTGAACCACCGAAGTCTTGATTCGAGCTAGATGCAGAACGAGCCCCCCCGATGTCGCCATAGATAGCTGGCTCTTCCTAGCAAAACAGGTATCGATCGCTCGACCAAACGTGTGCCACATTAACGTTAGTACAGCAGCGTCATGCAAACTCTTATAACCTGAGCCAACCCCCAGTTTCCTGCACCAGAACACGCAAGTCGCTGAGCGTGCAGCCTGGGGCTTCACCAGTCTGCACGCCAGCTAGCAAATTTCGCTCCTCAATAGTTGAACCCATTTTGTCGCGTATTTTCGCAATTCACTTGCTGTCTGACAAGTACAGAGGGTGCCGCTCTCGGAGCAGGTTCACAACTTGGGGCATATAGCCCACAGCAGTAGCCTTAGCAAGACGGCCTCCTTGAGCACTTGGATTAGTTTGCAAGAAAATGGAGAAGGCGGTTAGCAAAGAGTAAACGTTTTGACTAGGTAGAGCATCAGGAATAGACAGCGACTTCGCAATACCAGCAATTGACTCCTCATTCATGTTAGCAAGAGCTAAGAATTCGCTGAAGCACTTCATCGCCGCTGCCTCCTTCCCTGCTGTCCCTTGCGGGATGTCTCGGCGCCCGCTGCATCTTTTCAAATGGGAGAGGAGAGAAAGTAGACGGGGCACAGCCACCAACGATACAATCAATGATTTGTATTGGGAATTTGTGGTCAAATATGAGTAATGCAACCTTTACACTTAACTTTTTTATTGAACATTATTCTAGCCAGACTGTAAATTCCCAAAATAATTGGGACAATGTTGGGATACACACCAATCGATCGTGATTGGCTAAATTCATTGAAGAACTTGTCCTGATTGGATAGATGCAATGACAGAGAAGCGCAAGGAATGCCAAGTTGGGAGAAAGCTTCCTTATGTGCGGGTCTCGGTATCCAGCGAGGACTTTGCCGACACTCTGGTCCTCGCGTGTCGTGGTACCCACGTACGCGAATGCCTTCGTGAGCGAGTCCAGCAGCCAAACTCCCCGGGTCGAGATCCACTGGATCGCAAGCTACGGTGAGGCGTTTGCATACGCTGCGGAGCCGCGGCGCACGGAGTGGCTGTTCAGCCCTGCGGTGAGCGTCGGGGGCAGTGGAGCAGAGGCTTGGGCTTGGCGCCCGCAGACCATGGTGATGGCGTCGTTGATATACTTGGACACGTTGGGCCTTCCTCTCACGCGCTTTGTTGGTGGCTCGTTCCTTGGTCCAGCTTTCTCTTCAAGGTTCTCCCAGTAGAGTATAGCTTCGTCTAGGCTGTTGGTCTTATCCCCTGGCAAATCCGATGCCGCCGCGTGCGACACTAGCGGGAGCACATAGCTGGAAGGCTCCGACGCTCCGACAAACAGCATTCCGAGGCCGTGCAGCATACACTGCTCCCAGTGAGTCGCGGCCTTGTAATTTGAGATGCCTTGAACCACCGAAGTCTTGATTCGAGCTAGATGCAGAACGAGCCCCCCCGATGTCGCCATAGATAGCTGGCTCTTCCTAGCAAAACAGGTATCGATCGCTCGACCAAACGTGTGCCACATTAACGTTAGTACAGCAGCGTCATGCAAACTCTTATAACCTGAGCCAACCCCCAGTTTCCTGCACCAGAACACGCAAGTCGCTGAGCGTGCAGCCTGGGGCTTCACCAGTCTGCACGCCAGCTAGCAAATTTCGCTCCTCAATAGTTGAACCCATTTTGTCGCGTATTTTCGCAATTCACTTGCTGTCTGACAAGTACAGAGGGTGCCGCTCTCGGAGCAGGTTCACAACTTGGGGCATATAGCCCACAGCAGTAGCCTTAGCAAGACGGCCTCCTTGAGCACTTGGATTAGTTTGCAAGAAAATGGAGAAGGCGGTTAGCAAAGAGTAAACGTTTTGACTAGGTAGAGCATCAGGAATAGACAGCGACTTCGCAATACCAGCAATTGACTCCTCATTCATGTTAGCAAGAGCTAAGAATTCGCTGAAGCACTTCATCGCCGCTGCCTCCTTCCCTGCTGTCCCTTGCGGGATGTCTCGGCGCCCGCTGCATCTTTTCAAATGGGAGAGGAGAGAAAGTAGACGGGGCACAGCCACCAACGATACAATCAATGATTTGTATTGGGAATTTGTGGTCAAATATGAGTAATGCAACCTTTACACTTAACTTTTTTATTGAACATTATTCTAGCCAGACTGTAAATTCCCAAAATAATTGGGACAATGTTGGGATACACACCAATCGATCGTGATTGGCTAAATTCATTGAAGAACTTGTCCTGATTGGATAGATGCAATGACAGAGAAGCGCAAGGAATGCCAAGTTGGGAGAAAGCTTCCTTATCCTACAATATTGTGCGCATTGCTGAAAAGTCCCAATGTATCCGATTACCGTATCGCCCGTGTCATAAGTGGACGTCAGTGTGCGTTCTAAATGTATGGGATCTTTTTACTTACGAATTAGAGCAATGAAACGTACGAATTATTTTCGTATTTAATCAAGTACAAAATATCGAATTGAAACCCATGTCCATCCGCATAAAACGCGATGCTCTTGCCATTTAAACTACGCGTCCAAGATCGCTTGGTTGCCTGCGCAATTGCATCAAGTGCAAAACAACGTGTATTTTGTTAGGTTAAAACTCATCGTCTGAGCTATCACTGTTGATGTGCTCGCCGTCCGATCCCACAATCGATCCTACACTCTCGAGTTCCCTAAGTTGATCCAGCAAATCATTGGAGGTCTCGATACAATTTAACACATCTTTAGGTTCACCACTGCCCGTATCACTAAGGAGGTCAGCCTGAGCAAAGTTGCTGAAGATTGTCTGAGAGCTAAGATCGTCCTAGCTCTAAGCAATCCCCGGCGTTATGTCAGTCCGCTTAGGCACAACCATCTCGAAGGCAGAGTTAGGCATCTGTTCCTGAATGCTGGAGAACTTCTCTCTCACCACCTCTTGGATCTCGTCTCCTGCTATGCCTGCCACTTGACCCGATAATCTTTGCCGCTCCAGTGCCTGCCTACAACCGTGTGGATGGTTTTGAGCAATTTGAGCGCGAAGACAATCCAACCAGCGCCTTCGTAGTCGGCTCTCGTAAGGGTGGTTCCAGGCTACTTCAGCTGGTTGACATACATACGGGTACCGCGGCGGTACTTTCATGAGGATTTCATTGATGGAGATTGCGTAGTCGACGATTTCCTAGGTTTAGTGACCCGAATGACATCCCAGAGCAAGAGCAGCTTCTCATGCATGCTCTCCCGATATCCAAAATATTATCGAAAACACTCGAGCAGGATATGGGAGTTCCACCAGACACGGCATCCGTGCAAACCTTGTAGTGCGAAAACCTCCATCCACAAACCCACACCAAATCCATGGCGGGCAGCATCGTTCACGGCTTGCAGATGATCCTGACGTGATACACCGCTCTTGAATTTGAGAAACGGGGCATATTACTTCCCGTACCAGTCTCATAACAGGTTCGCTCCTTGTCGATGCCACTGCACCTCACCCACGGGTTTTGGTAAAAGATGAGAACTGCTATTTGTGATTTATGTTTCTGACTTCCTTTAAATGTAATATTCTAAACTAGGAATCTGCCCAACGGCTGGATAGCAGGATTCTGCTAACATGCAAGTCACTCATTGGCTAAAAGATGCTGCTTTCAGCCAATAGGAATCCTAAATGTGTATGGACCACCCGTCGTGGTGGCCGTAAATGTATGTAGCCATTGGTGTATCTTACACCAAGGTCGAGGAAGTGTTCAAACCTCTAACAGACATCGCATCTGTTAGAGTAACAAGTGACTGTAACCACTTGTGCATGTAACCCCGTTACATTCTTCATCAATTTGCTGTGCATCTTTGCTCTCTCCACCGTCGGTATCGATCTCTTGCACTCCAGAAAACTGATCTGCACACAGTGACACATTACATGGTGACGCATTCACAAGGTCTATTAACCGGTGTGGGCACCGACCCGGAAACAATCAACCGAACAACGTTTTGGAGCTAGACACGTTGAATTAGCTAAAACCATGCTAAACCTAAGTTTTAGCGGATAACGAAGTCCAACCATAAATCGTAATTCAGTCAGTCAGTCAGTCAGTCAGTCAGTCAGTCAGTCAGTCAGTCAGTCAGTCAGTCAGTCAGTCAGTCAGTCAGTCAGTCAGTCAGTCAGTCAGTCAGTCAGTCAGTCAGTCAGTCAGTCAGTCAGTCAGTCAGTCATCCAGTTTGCCCTCCTATGTAGTGCACTACACCCTTTTCCAAGCAAACTGACCGTTTTTATAAGCAAAGTGGTTTTGAGATCATTGTGCAACTTAATAATAGTTCGTAAAAAGGCCAATTACCAGGCAAAGTGGTTTTCTGATATTTTTTACCAAGCAAAGTGGTTCGTACTTAAGCTAACAACCGAGCTCCATGTACTCACCGCGCTCGGTTAGGAAAATGCTTTTGAAGTAGTGTCGCTCCATGCGCCAGACCAAGCGCTGAGTCAATATATTCTTACTTACTTCCACGGCCTCCTTCATGAAAGCCATTCTGTGCGCAGCCAGCGAGTCGTACTCCCCACGCAATAGCCGCTCACGGCGCTTGACTGCAAGATGCAGTTTCATGCTCGCCTTCAGCGCATTGAAGCACCCCTCGATGGCATTACACATCGGGCTGTACGGCGCCAGACGCAGGATGACCAGCTTGTTGCTATTGACGATTCCGTCAGCAACAAGCTGCTCACGTGCGAGCGTCTCCACCTGGCTGTGCACGGGGGCATTGTCGGTAACCACGACGACCTTCTTGCCCACGCAGCACTCCTTGTACTCGTCTGAGTTAAGGGCAGCGACGAACAGATCGGCGACGTACCGCGCATTCTCCTCCATGCGGATGGATCCCTCGTGCGTGCGAAGAAGCACGAGTCCGTTACCGGGCGACACGCCGCACTGCACGTGCAGATTCTTGCCTTTGGAGGGCGGCAGCGTTACCACAGCGCGCTTGCCTTCGCGTGCCCAGCCCTGGTTGCGCGCCAGGTAAATGTTGAAATTGGTCTAATCGTGATAGACAATCATGTCACCCGCAGACACGTGCTTGTACAGCGCGACGGCGAACTCCTTGCGCTTCGCCTTGTTCACGTCGTTGTTCGTGGTGGCCTTCTCGATCCGAAGGCCCTTCACCGTGTACAGCATCCCATTTAGGGCACAGTGGATGGAGGTGATGCTCACGTCGGCCGCCAAGTCGCTGAGCTACCGATCCTTCATGACGACCATGGTCATGTCCGCCTGGTCGTCCAGGTACTCCTCGAGCTTGGACATGACCTCGACCGTCATCTTGACGCACACACTCCGCGCACCGCCGCGGGGTTGCTGGTCAATGCTACCCCTCGCAGTGATGCGACGGGCAGTAGTGACGGACACGGCATTACTGGCAGCAACACCAAGCCAGTTTTGGCCCGCGAGGTACGCGTCAAGAACGCGCTTCTTGGCGCTGGCTCGCTCGAACTGCTTGGCCTCGCGTGAGACCGGCGGCGGCGTCTCTGGGGTGGAAGGCGAGGGCGGCGGAGCCATTGGCTTGGTGGAGGGCTTCAGGTAAAATTGCGAATGAAAGATCCCGGTGCGTTGGCGGCGGAAAGCAATGCAAGCACCGGGTGCTCCCCGCCTTCGAACCACTTTGGTTGGAAAAAAATATGGCGCCAAACCACTTTGCCTGAAAAACCTTATTTTATTTTTTAAAAAAACCTTAATCAACCACTTTGCTTGAAAAAAAACGGTCAGTTTGCTTGGAAAAAGGTGTACTTAGTGTTCGTACTTAGCGGTAAATCATAGAAGCCTTGAATGCGAGTTGCTCACGTCGAGCCCGATTTGGTTCGGAAATGGCACTTTCTAAAGGTGCCAAAAGGATGCTAATCCATGCTGGATGTGCTAATCATGTAGGAGATGGCGTTTGTGTACAGCTTAAAGCTCATTGACCATCCACGACTTACAGCAATTCGTACTCAAGTACGAATTATAGATAAATCGTGCTCGATAAGTCGTACGGCTTACAGTCGAAAGTGCCAAAAAGTATGCAGAGCACAATACACCATATCTCACAGTTGTCTGTGCTGGTCCCAAATCCTCTGTGCGATTCGCTTGATATGTTGTGTGGTTCATCTGTTTTGTCTGTGCGAGTCTACCGCTCTCGATCTACAAGATTTAAAAAAGTATTTTTCTGACGTACAGTATGATTTTGTGAGTCTACGAATCGGCGACAGCGTACCAGCGCTCTCCTTCCAATAGCTAGGCCGAGCACAATAGAAGACGCTTTGTTTATGTGGGTAGTCTCGACTTCTTAGTTTTTGCTGAATCTGCGGCACTCCGGCTAATTCCGATCTGACAATAAAACTGGTTCTTGTCGCATAAAATAGAGACGGCCAATTCATGTGTACCACACGGTCTCAAAAACATGTTCAAAAAGCTCCATTCAAAGCGCGCGCACATCGGCAGCAGTGCGGCAGACACGAGAGAGGTTCCGCCGTTCCGCGCCTCGCTCCTCGGCCGTCGCCAGCAGCAGCTCCGGCAGCTCCGCGTTCCCCGTCCTTCCTCCCACCCGCTCGGCGCCCCCCGAGCCTCGCTCCAAGCCGTAACGCGCAAGCTACGACCCCCGCCAGACATGCACGGCGCCTCCAGCCTGGACGGCAGCGAGCCACCAGCCTCCGCCTCGGCGTCGGACGAGGCCAGCGCCGCTGAGCTCAAGTTCGTGACCGAGCGCGCGGACGACTCGGGCCCCGACGCCTTCCCGCAGCACGAGGAGTGCGTGGCCATTCTCACGATGAAGTGCGGCGAGCCACTCATGGCCGTGCGCAAGAAGCTGCACGACGAGATCCCGATCCCGTTCATCCCGGACGAGGGCTTCGGCGTGTTCCAGAGCAAGGTGGAGCGCCACTACAGCAAGCTCGGGCCCAACTACGTGCAGGAGCGGCGCGCCATTTACCTCAAGCCCAGCAGCAACGCCACCCAGTCCAAGTACGTGCAGCTGACCAAGGAGAACTTCGACCCGCTGCTGCGCGTGCGCTGGAAGGTGGCGCGCAGCATGAAGGTGGAGCTCAAGTACGAGGTTTTCTGCTACTTTGTGGACATCACCACCAAGAAGGAGAAGAAGCGGCTGAGCATGAAGATGTTCCAGCAGCAACAGCAGCAGCAGCTCGCCGACGGCGTAGAGGCGATCGTGACCAATGGCATAACTGGTGCCACGGCGTCGCCTAACCCGTCCTTCATGGCGTTCAGCCAGCCGGGATCCGCTGGCATCCCGTTGATCCAGAGCTACGCTGACATGTCCATTGACGGATCCCTCACGCCCGGTGGAGGTGCGAAGACTAGGACTGCGGTGAGCCACAAGAATGGAGTGCGCGACGAATCCATCCAGACCAGTGATCGCCCTCGCAAGGTTGCGCGCGGGAAGCAGGCGGCAGCTACGACGGCGGCAGCGGAGCAGCTGCAGCTGGATGGAACGAGTGACGACTCAGTGTTCCATACGATCCCGTTCCGGATCAACGGATTCGTGGTACCGCTGGAGGTGGACATTATGGCGCTCAAACGAAGTCTTGGGTTAATACAGCCGTCCTCCGACGCGCCTGGCAGCCTTGATCCCACGTCGCATTTATAATAGGGTACGCAGCACGAATCGCCCCTACCTGCTATCAGAGCGAGGCGACGGCGGGCGGATCTGGGGGAGATGAAGCGGGAGCAGCAGTAAGTATACATGTAATGCATGAGGACAACGGAGACTGCAACCAAGTAGGCTGTCGAACTAGCAACACTAGTACGTAGCAGAAGTTAGGTAGGAGTTCTTTGACCTACAATCAGTCAATTGCTTTGCATGAAATGCTTTGCATGTTAATGCAGTGAAAAGCTTCAGCATGGAACATCAACGTCAATACAGCAATACAGCTGCAACCTGTAAAAGCAAACACACTCAGTGCACATTATCACTTGCGTGAGTTCATTCATACCACTTCAACTTCTACCGGTTTCGAGAAGCGGCGATCTTGTCACGGATGCAGCTCGAGCTGAGGGTGCTGCTCTCCGTGCGGCGGCACGCAAATATGTGGAGCTTCGGTAGCCCACGCTCGACGCGAATGCTGTTGATCTTAGCAGCACCCGCTAGCGTTTCGCTAGATACGACCATGGCCGCCGGTTCCGGGATCACAATGGCCGGGCCGAAAGGGTCTTCAATCGTCACGATGTCCACGACGAGCTTCGGGTTGAGGAAGGTCAGGTAGGCGCGCACGGCGTCCTTCCTCCTTTCCAACGGTTCCACCAGCTCCGCATGCGACTTCTTCTTGAGCATGCTGTCCGCCGTGACTCCAATCAAGATGTGGCGCGCGCAGATACTCACCGCCAGAGACAGCAGCTTCTTGTGCCCGTTGTGCAGGTGGTCGAACGTGCCTCCCAAGATAACCAGGTCGTGCGGCGTCAGATCTGCGTGCTCGTTCTCAAAGTAGTTGACATCGGCAGCCAGCCTCCGCTCCACGTGCATCGCTAGCGGGTGGTACGTGACTGCAAACAACCCGTCCCGCTCGAAGCGCTGCGCGTTCAGCCGTTGCACGTCCACCAGCGCGTCCTCACCAAACACGGCGTTGAGCTCCGGCTGCAGCACCAGCTCCTCCCACGTCTTGCTGTCCGGCGAGACGCCTCCACCCACAATTCTACCATTACCCAACCGTGAAAACACATTAGATACTACGATCCAGGTAGAAGCAGCCTACACGTAGGGTATATGCTACCGACCGGATGTCCAGGAAGGGCTTGCCGAGCGCGCAGGCGACTTCCCACGCCATGCCGTAGAGCTCGCTGGTGTAGTTGACCACCTCGTGCTTGTCCCTGCCCGACACGAAGATCAGCAGCGTCTGCGCCACCATCTCCGCCGCCTTTTCCAGCAGCACGTCGTTCTTCACCAGGTCCCGGAAGTTCTGCGGCACGTGCATGCGCAGCAGCCCCACGCGCACGTTGGGGCCGCTCTTCTTCTGCGCGTCCGAGCGACCGGCGGCGGCGCGCTTGTGCAGAGCCGACACCCCCACGACGGCTGCGATGCCAGCCGCGATGGCGAGCGCCGTGCTCGCCCCGGAGAGCACGGGCGCCCCTGCGACGCCCGGCGGTAGCTTGGGGAGCTGCAGCTTTTTCTCCATGAGCGGCTACCGTTAAAATGGGCGGAAGCGTGATAATGGGTTAGAATGGAGCAAAAAGGGTACGATATTTTGAGTACTGGGTGTCGGAGTCGCCCATTTAAGTTGAAGTGGCCACCGACGACCTGCTTGAAGTGCATTGAGCGACTTCAGCTGCGAGTGCCATTACAAGGGGAAAGGTTACTGTTGCCATGTGTGTGCATCCATATCTGGATCGGTAGCCGTGACTGTGGTCTGCAGAGCGATTCCAGCCCGTTCTGGGGCGTCAAGCTGATTCAAATCGCCTTCAACTTGCTTCAGCAGGCTGCTTCAACATAGTTTGCTAAACAGCTCGGCAAAGCCACCAGCCTTACGCGCCAACACCGAAGCCAACCCCGGTGCTATCGGCACTGTAGCTACATTATACGTTATTGTAGTGCGTAGGTATTCACCCCCGCGATCCTGGCAAAGTAGAATCGGCGGGTGCTGTATGTAGCAGGTCTGGATCCGCGGTCGAGTCTAGCAGCGGCTGGAATCGACCCCCGAGTCCTAAAACAATCAAGCGCCGGTCTGTTCCGGTGCGGTGTGCTCCCATCGGGGTCTGCATCGTGATACATGTGTGTACAGCAGCCATTTTCACCGCTAATCGCAATGTTGAGCGGCAGTCGGTGGTGCCGCGCTGCCGAGCTGTGGACGAATGATCCTGCGGACAAACACTCGGCGATAGGCGTGGTAGACGTCGGAAGATGCTCCTAGGTGACGAGGCAGCGGACGCCTCTGCAAGGCGCCCGAGTCCATCGTGGCGAAAGCGAGGCAAGCGAGTGAAGCCATCTCCTGCACCATCTCTGCCTGCGTCTGCAGAGGATCCGATTCGCCCACGTCGGCATCCGTCACGGCAAAGAGTCTGCCGAGAGCCGGAGCGATATATTCGCGAGTCTTTCACCAGCGGAACCGCCAAGTGGCACATAGCGAAATGCAAGACGTGTCAGAATGAAAGGATGTGGGCTCGAAGCGGACTGCAACATCAACATCAACGCTTTGCGGCACCGAGCGATGCGCCAAAGTTTCCGTCGTGGAAGCCATGCATAACATGCCTGCATCCACTGCTGAGAAGATCTGGACAAACCGTTGCCGGTGCTTTGGCGGCGAGCGAGCGGCACCACATCAAGGGAATTTGTTCCCTTGGAACGCCCACCTCATGATACATTCGGCTTGACAAGGATGCGCCGGCCCGATAGCGCATCCTCCTACCGCGGCGCGGAAGCGCTGGCCCCAGCCTGATGCGGCTCGATCGGACGCGCGTTGTTGCCTGCCGCCCGCAGCCCCATCCTCGCAGGTCTGGCCGAGCGCGCTGTTGTCGGTCGGAGACCTCGGCCTCGGTGACAGGAAGAAATCCGCGCGCAACGCGGCACTTGCCTAGTCGCGCCTCAACAATCGCGCTTGCATACAAACAGCAAGTCATGTTCGGAAAGAGCTGGGTTTTCGTCGACGGACGGCGCATCCTTTCCGTCAGAGGATGCGCCTGCGGATGACTGCGACGAGCATGCAACAGATCTCGTTGCAGCACTCAACGCCGATCCGCGCTTTCGGTAGTTGCTCGCATTACATGTGCATGCCGGCAACATGCTCGCTCAAAACACTACTAAATGTTGGATAATAATATAGCTATCGATCGGCGCGGTCTAGCCGAGAAAAAAAATCGTCACTCGAAATCGCCTCACTTTTAGCTGGATCTTTTCTGCCGTTTCACGGTATCAGCTACGTAAAACAACTTCAGTCGGAACCGTATCGGCTCGAGGAGCTCCATGCTCGCAGGTGTTGTAGGCTGCATGCCACCGCCGCCGCCAACACTGCCGCTCTGCCTTCGTGGCTCGCTCGCTGACCTGCGTTTACGTTGGCGCTGCCTGCCAGTTGCTCATGTGGGTAGGTGGACGCTGGTCAACTCGTGAGCCGTGCGGGGGTTGGCGCTGGGTAGGCGAGAGAAGCGGCTCCCTTTCATCAGGCCGCGGGTGGTCCATCACCGCTTGGCAAAGACGCGTCAAACGGAGCCGCTCGGCAGGCAGGCTCACCCTCAGCAATATAGAGACGGACGTCCCGAAGCAAGTCTCCTCTCAGAACAAGCTCCTTCCTCTGGCTGCTGCGATCCCCTCATTCTCCAATTCACCGTCGAAGCCGCAGTGGGCAGACCCCAATTCGCCAAGCTCCAGTCGAAGCCGCGTCGCCACCATGGAGGCCCAGCCCACGTTCCTGCAGAACGTGCTGCGCACCAAGCCGCTCGCCGTCATCCACGCGGAGGAGGCGGCCGAGGAACTTCCGCGCCAACTGGGATTGTTCGACCTGGTGTGCATAGGTGTGGGAGGCACGGTCGGCAGCGGCGTGTTCTCCACGACGGGCGAGATCATCTCGGGCACCGCGGGGCCCGCCGCCTTCATCAGCTGGATCATCGCCGGCGTCGTGTGCTGCATCAACGCGCTCGCCTACATGGAGCTCGTGACCCGCGTGCCGTCCTCGGGTAGTACCTACGCCTACTCGTTCTACGCGCTCGGCGAGCTGCCGGCCGTGATCGCGGCCTGGCTGCTGACGCTCGAGTACGGTATCTCCGGATCCGGTGTGGCTCGCAGCTGGGCCACCAAGGTGCAGGAGTGGCTCGTGGAGGAGCACCCGGAGCACACGTACCAGTGGCTCAACGAGGACTACACGAACCTGCTGGGCGCCGTTCTCATGGCGCTGTGTGTGGGTGTGCTGCTCGTGGGCGTGCGCTTCGGCAAGTGGTTCGTTAACACCATCACGACCATCAAGGTGGTCGTCGTGCTATTCATCATCATCGCGGGCTTCGCCTTCATGGACTCGAGCAACTTGTCGCCGTTCGTGCCGCCGCGCCAGGACCTGGACGGCACCATGGCGTTCGGCACGCAGGGCATCATCACGGGCGCGTCGTCGGCCTTCTTCGGATACATCGGCTTCGACGAGGTCTGCTGTCTGGCCGCCGAGGCCAAGAACCCCAAGAAGGTCATGCCGCTCGCCGTCATCAGCGTGGTGCTCGGCACCATGTTCCTGTCGTGCTTCGCGTCGCTGGTGCTATCGGGCATGATCCCGTACCTGGAGGCCGACAGCTTCGGCGCCGGCTTCGACTACCAGGGTCAGAACTGGGCGGCCCAAATCGTGCGAGCCGGTGAGACCTGCACCATGCCCGTTGTGGTGCTTGTGAGCTTCCTCGCCCAGCCGCGCCTTAACTACGCGCTGTCGTGCGACGGCCTCATGCCGCGCATCTTCGCCAAGGTGGACGATAAGGGCAACCTGTTTGCCAACACGCTCATCTCGGGCGCGTTCTTCACGGCTGTGGCCTTCGTCGTGCCGTTCGACACGCTCTGGGACATCGTGAGCTTCGGCATCCTGCTGTCCTTCAACATGTCCATGACGTCGCTGCTCATGGTGCGCATGCGCAAGGAGTCGCCGTCGCTGGCCCCGAAGCTCATCGGCCTGCTCGTGGCCTGCGCCTGGCTCGCCGCCTTCTTCTACCAGATCGGCTACTCGAACGAGGGCCACAGGTGGTGCCTCGTGCTCGGCATCGTCTTCCTCGTGCTCGCGGTCATCGTGTGCTTCGTCATGTTCTTCAAGTGCCCGCAGGAGGCCCAGAGCGGCGAGAACTTCACGGCCCCGCTCGTGCCCTTCCTCCCCACCATCGCCATCCTGGCCAACTTCTACCTGGCCGCGCAGATCAGCTACACCGGCATCTACACGAGCTGCGCGTGGCTCGGCGCTAGTGTCATCTTCTACTTCTGCTACGGCTACAAGCACTCGGCCGGCCGCACGGGCTGGAGCGCGCTGCTCAGTCTGCCGCGCGACTCCACCATGCGTTCGCCCATGATCTCGGACAAGAAGCAGCTCCAGGAGTAGAGCGCTACCCTCCCCTTAATCGTACTCATAAACTGTTGTTAACCATTTATCATGAAGAGATGAGATGTTGATTCTTTTAGTTACCTTTGAAGAGAGGCATTCCGACCATCGACTACATGTACACCGCGATTAACATCAGATAGGATACTTTTGACGAGGATGAAGACCAGTCCTAATTTCACGGGTACAGCAGTGGTGTTTGTGGACCCTGAATGACGGCTATGGCGTTAGACTGCAAAGATGAACGCGAAGAATTTTCTATTTGTCAACTTTATCTGCCCATCAAGGCACTCTAAGACATAAGGCGCCTTGGTCTGCAGAGTCAAGTTGCGTCGTGCTTGTGGAAGTATCCGATATATCTAGCTGGACTCGGTCTTTAGCTTTTTCTTGGCAGGAGATCCATCCGACTCGGGAGTAGATCCGACTTGCGCACTTTCAGAAGCGCTTGCGCTTTCAGAGACGCTTGCTGATGCTCCAAGAGGCGGAATGTCCAGGATCTTGATTCCTGAGAGAAGGTAGCCACTGCAAGCGCTCATGTTCATCTCCGGGTGGGTCCGGCCAGGAAGCACCTGGTTCTCACGCGTCCACGTTTCGTTCAGCTGGAGGTCGATGATGGCCTCCATCTTTTGGAGCGTGGCGAACGTTCGCGTCAAAGGCTGAAATCCCAAACATAAACAACAAACCGGTCAGCGCCCAATTCATGAAATCAATCTGCAGGAAGTTCAGCAACCATGCTCACCTCGAGGAACTCGGAGTAGACCACGAACGGCTTGGAGCGGCCCAAGTACGGCAGCAGCGCCATCAACACCTCCTCCGGGTCGTAGTTCGCAGCGATAACCAAGCTGTCCGACTTTTCACGAGCCCACTGGCGGATCGTCGACGGGGACTGACGGTTAAGCTTGGTATCCGCGCGGCGCGCCTTCTTCTCGGCGTAGCGCTTCTGCTGCTGAGGCGTGAAGTTCTTCGCGCGCTCCGCTGCGAGTCGTTCACGCTCCTCCGGGGTCAATCCATCCCTCGCAACCTTGGGCGGCTCGACCACTTCCTCTTCCTTCTACAGTATCAAAACAAAATCATTTGTCAGTCTTCATCCATAGAGTCCAGCGAGACTCAAATGCACGCACCAACTCCAGCATCCGCACTTGTTTGAACGGCATGTAGTGGATAGACTCCAGCGTGCGTTTGTCTGCAAATATATAGAGTGGAATGAGATCCTGAAGTCCGATGCACAAACCAGATCGCCATCGTACCAAAGTTGAAGCGACGCAGGATATCGGCAGCCGGTTGCTGGCCCTCGTACGGACAAATGATGCGCCCAGATCCGCCCTGCCGCTCCGCGATTGCGCCCGTCACTAGGCCCATGCAGGTGTCTACCACCAGCACCTGACCGCCGGCAAAAATGTTGCTGTAGACGAGCACTTGGCCTAGCGAGTCCTCGCGGAGGTTGCAGATCTTGGCCGGGTTCTTTAAGCGGTACGTGCGACACAGCGACTCGGCCGTGCAGCGCAAGAAACGCACGCGCGGCATGTACTTCTGCTGCTTCTTCTTGAGGTATTTCTGCTTGGAGAACTCCGTCTTGGTCTCCCACGTGGAGCTGTTCTCCACCAGTTTCTGGATAATTTCTTTGCCAGTCGCGCCCTTCTCGCGAAGCTCGCCAATGTCCGTCTGCTTCAAGGTCTGTGCCGAGTTGGTGTCCGCGTAGTGGCGGTTGTCTCCATCGGGCACGAAGCCCTCGCCAGTCTCTGCCAACAGCCATAAAATATTGTCAGGGTCTCCTAGAAGTAAGACTTCTCAATATTCACAATGATTTTTACCTGGAGCCACTGGGTCGGGGAAGAGGCCGCCGGTCACCTTCACCAGCTTCTTGTTCTGCTCCTCGAAAATGGCGCTATGGGCATCAACTCCATGTTAGAGAGTGCTAACTGCCAAAACCATCTCCAATACTAACGTGAAATTACCCGTAGAACGAGCCAATGACAGGCTTCAAACTTGCAACTTTCTTGCCGACGCGGATGGACCTGGGTAACAAACGCAGCGTTGCAGGTTAGGGACCCGCGGCCGCAATAACTAAACAGGCTTGGATTTGATGACGTACTCGTCCTTCGTGACGGCCTGGAAGAACATGCGGCCGTCACTGGTCTGGCAGATGACCGTGTCGCCCTCATAGATGACGTAGGGCAGGCGAGGCTCCTGGGTGTCCGCGGCGGGCGTCGTGGTAGCCATGTCTCCGAGCAGCTCCGATAATGCTCCGGAAGCGGCACCAACCGCGCGATAAGCCAATCAGATCGCCGATTTAATTTTTAGCCAATCACCAATTTCTCGACAATTTTCTTTATTTAAAAATAAAGAAAATTGTATTAACAAAGAACATCCGTAGGTCAGCCGAAATGTGAAGATCTCAAAATGCAGTAACAACTAAATGGAACTGGTTTGCGGGCTTTGGCCCGCGGTGTTCGCAGTTCGGTTTTTTTTTACTGTATTCCAAAACCTGCACAGTAGAAAACTTTATTTACTACTAGTAGTACTATGGAGTAATAGCGCTATGCTTGCCGCAGGAGAGAGTTGCGTGAAGACGTTCTTGAAATTTAGCGCTTGTTCTTATTTTTGTACTGTGAAATATCATGCGTCCATTTGCTGGATGGCTTACGCTGCTCAATCTGCCGTGGCGGATCTACGTGAACTCACACTATTGGGCTGCTACCGCGGGAGTCCCCGTATGCGGCGCTGCAGCAGTGCGCGGCGACGGGCGTAGTCAGCCGTCATAACCGCAAATTTCATTTCATTGCATGAACTCACACTAGCGTTACTGCCATTCATGGTACATACTGCACAGCTTCAAGCTGCCAGACTGAGCTTCGGTTCATATTGAATATATAATGTGTTTATTTTCTGGGGTGTATTCGGTGTATGTCCAAATTTGACGCCTGCAACTTGATTTTGTAGAATTGCTATACTGATTTCAATGCCGTTTAGGTCTCCTCACTTCAAAGTCGACTCTCAACAAACAGTCTGCACCCACGACCATTAATCAATAGCGATAATTTTGTTTTACTCAACGACGGTTTATAGTTGCTGCTGCTGTGGCGTCCGACATGTACATACAGATATCGTATCTTAGAAATGACAGGCACATGCCTAAACTAACTTAGCCGATACGACGGCGACCTACCTATTGCTCGCTTGCTGCCCCGATTCGGTCGATTCCTCACAAATTGCATTGACTGACTGATCACCCCTCTTTATTATTGCTGCTGCCTGGTTAGCTTGTCGCCGAAAGCATGCTTTGAGCTGTAATAATGAATCGGAGTTTGCGCTGCTGTGCTGTAATACAATTGCTGTACAACTGTCATTGCTGTTGTTTCAAATAGCTCTTTAACCGATAATGCAACATAAAACCTTATGTTGCATTATCTCAAACACCCGCAGGGGCGCAAACGACAGTTCTTACGAACTGCAGATTTGGAGATCGAAAACAATACATGATTCTAAGCATTATGAGGGGGTTGCCGTGCCTGGGACTTATCGGTGATGTTGGGGCCGCCAGGCCCCGACATCTCCGACATTTGCACCCGAACTCCGACAATCTCCGCCCCCGGCGGAAGCACGTGGAAGGCTATCAGGACACTATCAAACTGTAATTTGACGTGGTTAGGAGCATCTGCACAAATGTATTACTTGCGAGGTATCGTGAACGCAAAGTAGGCTTGGATGTTCAGGTTCATTGGTATCTCCGATGACCTGAACGATGGGTGCGAGCGGCGTATACGTCCAGGCCGGGAAAAGCTAGGGAGCACCGAAAGCGGAGCACCGGAGCAGAGAAAGACCGTGCATACGATGGCAGTAACACCACATGAATGATTTGACTTCAACGCAAGATCGAGATAAAGATACGTGTATGTATTTTAGAATACAGATCAAAGTGCACCTTAAAGTCAAAGCGGTCATTCGTCTAGTGCTCGCAGTCCGGCTTAACCCCACGTACGGGGCGGACAGAATACCTGCTGGAACTCGGTATCATCGCAGTCGAGAAGGGCTTGAAAGGACGATAGTTGCGCTGGGGTTCTTGTGGCGGCTGCTTGGTCTTGCTCAATGATTTCGAATCTGGAAGGCTTGCGGCGTGTTCTGTGAATGCCGTATCCGACTCGGTGGGGGTCATGTTGGGTTTGTTGTCGTCCACTGCGGAGGGAGGCAGGCTCTATGATGCGTGGAGGCGCACTCTTGAGAGCCGATGGCAGCCACCAGTGGCGATCAAAGTGCAGTGGCTCCAGCTTTAGCAGACCTTCAGAGTCGATGATACGCATGAGCTCATGCAGGCAAGGATGGCCATGGATTCTTCGAAATGTCCCGGTGCACGTACTTCTTTCTAGCCCATGGACAACAATTTTATGAACCTGATCAAACTTCGCCATGAAAATGTCGGTCGCCTGCAGGTTCGTTTTCTTCTTCCCCATAGCGACAGCGTTTCGAATAGCTACTTCCCCTATCTTCTTTTTTGCTTGAGCTAGAACATTGCGCCAGATGTGCCAAAGACACACAAACTTATCCGACATCGGGAAAACAGTGTCGGAGGCGTTCGTGCAGGCCAGCTCGCGATCGGAGCTAACCGTTGTACCCGTGGGCGCGGGTCCACGCATGAATGGCAGCCTCCGCGTCTCTTTCAGTAGGATATTCAAGTGGGGGTGGAGGATCGAGGATAAACGTTCGCGGCGCGCCTGTAGCCATGGCCGTTAGCGGTGGTGGAGGATCGGTTCGCGTTATGCCTGTAGCCTTGGCTTCGAGTGGTGGTGGCGGGTCGGTTCACGGCACGCCTGTGGCCACGGCTTCCATTGGTAGTGGCAGCGACAAGATGAAAGGGGGGGTTATGTTGTGGCGAGTGCGCGAAGATGCATTCTAAAGCAAGGCGTTGGTTGTCTCCGAGTCTAAAATTATCGATATCTATATCCGCAAAGACTCCCATAGTCGGAGGAGTGCTCACCCGTAAATATCTGCGCTGTGCATTGAAGCCTTAGGTTGGTCAAGTTGAAGTCAAATCATTCATATGGTGTTACTGCCATCGTATGCTCTGCCCCGGTGCTCCGCTTTCGGTGCTCCCTAGCTTTTCCCGTCCAGGCCCTTTGCCTAGTAGTATTCACCTGTTGTAGGAATGAAGTCCGCGCTATCAGATGCTCTAGATGCAAACAAGGAGACATATATGTGAACGCAAAGCGACTGCTGCGTGATAGCGCTAGTTGCACATCCTCTAGGCCCGCTACGCAATGCATTCTTCAGTAGTACATCGTAGCAATAGAGGAAAGAGCACGAAGACATCCTCCTGACACTAAATTGAAGCCGTGGGTCCCCACAACGGAGCCCTTAACGCAGTTATTCACTTTATTGAAGATGCACTATGTAAGGGTGACCCACACTAAAGTAGGGTTTCTAAACTACATACCATGCTCCGTGTAGATCGAGGGCGCCCTACGAAGGTTGTCAAGAAGCTTTGAGCCGCCCAAAGCGTGCTACAGCAGCGTCACGGTGTTGAAGGGGAACCGGGACACTGAAGCAGGACACATTCGGTGGCAAACGGTCACATTCAGCGTTGCATAAATAAAAATTGCAATAAAACTATTGATAAAGTTGGGGTCAACAATTACAATTAGAAAATTGGCTGCAATGATTTTATTGTATCGTACAAAGACAGTTGACTTGATAACTGTATGTGCGTGGATAGCCAATCAAACGGTCCATACAGACCCCTATACAAACCACAAGAATACAATTCAATGCCTACATTGTACAATTAAAATTGTAGCGTGACGGCAAATCTCAATCAATTTTTCAATGTAAATTGACGCAATGCTGGTCACATTAGGTCCGATCCGGTGCAAATCGGTGGTGGGACATCCCCTAGCATTTTCGATTCACCATGCCTACGCTTGACCGGTATTCGTGGGCCGCAAGGCCCGCGGGCCTCCGCGGCCTACCGGTTCGAATTTTTTTTTTACGTTGCAGGAAGCGTCGCCATGGGAAGAAGAGCGCTGCGCAGGTTGCAGTGGCTGAGGCTATTGCATTGCGCCAATTCCCACCGACATTAAGGTACCCAGAGCGAGTATCAGGTGCGCTACTATCAGAATGGTTTGCCTACCGACATCTTCGGAAAGATGTGAACAGTTTGCATGAGATAAGCAAGTCAAATGAACGGTGCAAAGATGGGTGCTCACATACCAAATTTAGGAAGTGTTCAGCTCTTTCCAACTATGACGCTAAATTTCATTTGTTAAAACTACTTGCCTACCAGCCAATCTTTTTAGTGCATAGTGTTTGCCTCGCCCTCATTTTCAAAATGCCACCGCAACGTATACCCCTCCGCCACACGAACCGCTTCCGGCTGGAGATTGCTCAAGACTTCCTGGACAAGCCATTCTGGGTATCTGTGCGTGATTTTGCGGCTGCTCGTGGCCTAAGCCCCTCTACTATCATCTCGTGGGTTAACCGCATTGAGAAGCTGCGCATGGTTCGACGAGAAGGTAATGTTAGAATGGATTGAAGAATCTTTTAGACCTAACGTTACGGGGTTTTCTGTGCTACTACTGGACGCGCTCAAGACGCACAAGATGGACAGTGTGCAGGGCGCTTTGGGCGACATGGGCACGAGTGTGCACTTCGTTCCTCCGGGCTGCACTGGGATAGCGCAGCCGCTTGACGTCGGAGTGATGTCCCCGCTCAAGACGCATCTACGCCAGTCCTGTGCCCAAGCCGCAGTACTACACGCGATGCAAGAAAACTCGGTCGAGCGCCGCCGCTACATGTTCGACCACGCCATGCAAGCTCTGGGCAAGATTACGCAGGACACAGTGCGGCACTCTTTCGACAAGGCCGGCCCGTTCTTCGGCTGCACCACAGGCGTAGATGTGCAAGGAATGCTGGACGAAGCTCGACTTCTCAACGTTGTGGATGCTCAAGACAACGACGTTGGCAGTGTTCAAGGTGTGCTAGCAGGCGAGGTTGAAGTGATCGTGGGTGAAGGTATCAACATTTAATATGATTGGCCAAATATATGCCGACTATTTCAAGTCAAATTCTGTAGAGATTATCCAGTGGAAATCTCGATATTTAGTAAGTGTTCAGATCTTTTTGCTGTTCACATCTTTCCGAAGATGTCGGTATCCTACTCTTACGTGGGCTCCAGAGTGCCTGGAGCCCAACTGGAAACCGAATGGTGTGCATGAAGGGTGTCTTTGCGTGCCGAAGGTGAAAGCATACAAACAACGTATAGTGGAAGATGTTGAGCACAGGACGGTATTGTACTATGCACGATATCAGTGCGCTGGCACCAGTAGAAAATTGTTTTCTACTATCAGCGACTCATATCTCGCTTCGTCTTAGCTGTTGGTGCTGGATTTCCCCTACTTACTAACATTCAAGACAGGAATCTCTTCAGATATGTTTGACATCGTATATGACGGTATGTTATCTACGAAAGGAATTGCAGGTGCAGTTGCAAACACCGTCCGGCGACGCCAAAAGAGGTTTTACCAGCTTCGGTCTCGAGTTGAAGCGAAGGTAGAGCAGCTGCGTGCTGGGGATGCAACCTACGTCCCTCCCCTCCCCCCAACAGAGGAGCAATACATGTCAAATGGATGCCGAAATGCTAAAAGAACTATGGCTAACACACACTAACATTTTAAGTCGCTTGTGCGCAGCACAGATGACCGAAACGAAGTGTGATCGTGTTTTCCGTATGGATCACTCACAAAAATTCTGTAGCAAGCTTAAGGTATTCGGAGCTAATGGCATCAAAGAGCAGTCAGCAGCTATTCGTGTGCTGCTGCTTGTTCAAAATGAGTTAGGGCAAATTTTGGGGAGAACGCTAACCCAGTCTGAGAATCATGCAGAAACAGAGGCGCTCTTAAAAACAATGACGCCCAAAATGATAAGTGACTCCGATGGCCCTCGGATATGTGTTTGTGACAACACCAATGCCAACCGCAATCTCATTGAGAGAGTGTTCGGCGATGCGGTGGTAGTCAAACAAGACCCTTTTCATGTTATTACAAGGTTCACCGAGAAAATAAGTGATAACAGTTAGAAGCGGGGGGTTTCCAAGCAACTGTCTGCTGCAATCTACGATGTGGTGCGTAATCTGCGCCCGCCATAAGAGTGTGAGCGTCGCGTCAAGTCGCTACTAGAGTCACGGGATCCTGCTGGTATTTCCGTGAAGCGTTCTGAGTGGGATGGATGCGTTGCCAGTAACCTGACCCAGATCCGGCGGGGGGGGGGGCTGTGTACGTGGTCGAGAATCAGTACACAGAGGTAGGGGGTGAAGTGCGTCTTATCTCCACAAGTCAACTTGAAGCCATTTACTCCAATCTACGAAAGCTGCTTGATCGTGTTCTCTCAGTTGAAGTGGGCTTACGCATTCTGGACATCTTCATTCTACAGGTACTATACTTGCTTGAAAATTAAACTCTATATCTGTACTAACTGATCTTGCGCAGCAGAACCTTAGCGTCGGGGCGAAATATCGCCGAAACCCCGAGTTTCACGGCACTGATTTTAGATGTTTGTGTCAAAGTGCTGTTGCCTGTAGTGGTTTGCTGCCAGAGACTCCACAGCTCGAGTACGTCATGAAGCTGACGACGATCAAGTCCAGGGACCTTGCTCCGAGCAGGGGTTATCGTAGTTCAGCAGCTAAGCCAGATGAGCACAGGCCTTGGGAGCAACTGTTTGAGATGATCCAGCTTCGAACGTCTAATATGGAAGCCAAACTTCTGTCTGGTGCGGTCCCTTCAGAAGATATTCGGGCGCTACTATCAAATGCATTCAACTGCGACAACCACTTCAATCAAAAAAACTAATTGAGTTTCTTCGCTTGGAGCCCCAGTACGACAGCTCAAGAGATTTTTCATCTCACGAATTTGCTGTCTTGAAGGAAGTTCGCGCTGAACAACTTTCTGACAGCCGCGACTGGTCTAGCAGCAAAGCTGTGGCAACGGCTCTATACAACTGTGCAGTGGAGCGTCTCGATAATCGAGCGTTAAAACTCCGAAAGCGTGGCTTTCATGCAATTTCCAAGGTCTACCAAGTATTGATGACATGTTGAAGACGTCTCCACCAGTTCTGGACTCACGTATGGTGATCATGACTGACAAAACCATCAACGACGACAAGGTCACGCCGGATGAGGAAGTTTTGATGAAAAAATTATTCGCAATGGTTCGCAAGTCGTCGCTCAAGAACAAACGGCAGGTATTTGTAGTGGTTTTTAATTTCGTAGCGGCAATGTGTGACGGGATTGAGCCCAAATCCGCCGAGTTCCTGCATCGTCGCTGGGGGTCGGCGAAGCGATCAAAAAATCGCGTCAAGAAGGCCCAAGGCGATGGAGATGACGAGGAGACGGCGTCAGCCAGGTCTTCACCCGATTTACAAGCTGATCAGGATACCAGATCGTTGGATGATAGACTATGCGCACCTACCGAGCGTAGAGCTAGGGTTTCCGGGTCCCTCACTAGCATCCCGTCAGAGCCACAGCAACCGGCAGCCGCATTAACTTCCTCTACATCGACACCAGCTGCCTCCAATTACTCGCTCACCTGTGAACAAGGTGAACTTATCGGTGCCGAACAGGTTAACGACGCGGTCATCAATACTCCAGTCGCGATCACACTATCAGCTGCAGCAGTGACTTACCAACTGGCTCAATGGGACCTAGACACTGAAGCCCAGCTTCGCCTAATTGCAGTATCGTTAGGCAAAGGGTGCAAGGGGAAGTGGAAAATAATCCGCAGTGAGTACTTTAAACGGTACCCTGGCTCCAAGTTGGGTCAAAATGCTGTTCGTATGCGTCTTCGTGATCGACAAGTAGCGGCCAAAACAGTCCCGGCAGCTCCAACATCAATCGCCTCGTCAGATGGATGACAAGAAGAGTAGGCATCAACATCCTCAGCTCCAGCTTCAAACAAGCGCCCTCGGCCGTCGTGTGATAGCTGTCGAAAAACGAAACGAAGATGTGGACCAAACAGCGACAACCAGCACTGCGAACAACGTCAAGCGAGAGAAGGCCAGCAAAACATCACATCATTTTTCAGCTGAACATAAATATTACTTGATAAGCATCGCTATATTATCTGTTTAAAGGCGCAGCACATTGCATCTTAGAGTTAGAACGCGTTCATTGTTTGAGGCCAGACAATAGCAGCCTTACCGATAGAAGTTACACAGCACTGGGGCTGCAACAGAGTCGCTGGCTTCATTGAGATGGGCGCTGGAGCAGGAACAGCCCTGGCAATAGTAGATTCCACCAATAGAGCTGCTACAGCGAGGCAGAGCTCCAGCGTTAAGATGCAATCGGAGCTGGAATCGTAGCGAAGGAGCCTGACACGCAGTCACAATAACGTAAGCAGCGGCGATGAAGCACGCGTCGAGCCATAATGCAGTGACCTGAATACGATGAAGTACTACTTACCGTTCAGGCGAGCGCACAAAAGCAGGAGCATGGCAGCTGCTAAGCAGAAGATCACCCCATGACTCAGCCCGCTGCCTCCGATATCTTTAATGCGAGGCCTATAGCAGCAGCAAACCAGAAACACAGTACGGATGCACGTTATTGCATAGTCAAGCACCACTACAACAGCTCTAATGACTCACCATGAGGGCGGAGCTTCCTCCGTCGTGACACGCCGCCTGCCTTGGCTTCCGTCCGTCGTTTCGCTGAATGAGCGCAAAGAGCAAAGTTCAGCTGCTTCGGTCACAAAATTCATTTAGATTTAGTATTGAAAGAGGGGGTGTCGCCCTTATTGTATCGTGAGCCTACCGGGGCATGTACCGGGACAGGCACCTGGTCTAAACTGGTCCCATCTGGTCCAGTAGGTCTAATCTGGTCCCGGAACAAGCCCACGAATTCCGGCCAAGCCCCCCACACGTGCCTGGGTCTTGCATAGTTACCGAGTTATGGCTCGTAGAATTCGGGGTTCCGGTCGGATTGCCACTGTACAACTTCACTTGAAGTACTTCGGTTAAATTCTTTCGAACAACGTCGTCCAATTGTGCATCAGCAAATCTCTCCAACGGTTGACTAGGTTACACCGGGTACGATCTTTACAACAGGTTTCTGGAGCAATTATTGGGCAGGAATGAAATGTACGTGATTTCATGTGAGTTACGCTTGTACGGCTAGTAGTATGCAGCACCAAGGTTACCCCTAAGGTAACTCATTATGCACTATGCTATAGTTTTCGGTGTGGTTATCCCGGAGGGTTACGCTGGTTACATTTTTGAGTGTTTCGCTTACAACGTGGCGATATTTCGACAAAGTTGAGATTGCCTTCAATAGGACAGGTTTGGATGGCTTTGTATAGAGTGCTGTCAAGCAACTTACAAATAGTTTTTGCATACAAGATATACATAGTTGTAAAGAGGAAGGCATTGCTAAGCTCCTGGTATTGGTCTCCTATGCGCAGCTAGTATATTTCCCATGATAACTACCGGTCCAACTTCCTCATCACTTCTACTGGGCATGATGAGCTCAAAAACGGCATAAATCGATCTAGAGTTAGTAGGAGGAATGAATATCTTCAGTCATCGTCATTGAGCGTGATCTTATAAATGCAACTAAGCTTCATGGTGAACAGTCTTCGCGTCCACTCTCGACGTAGGGGTAACCTACGAATTTTCGCCTGATCGGGAGAGATGAGCTTTAAAAAAATACATAATGTTATACTAAGTAATTTGACAGGAAGCGAAAAACTCGCGATTCGAAGAGACGAGTTTGTCATCGAACGACATTCAGTCGAGAGACATTGTTACAACTAAATGTTTGCTGCAGAAAACAAAAACCAAGAGCTTCACTTTGTCGAAGGAGTGAATCTGCGAAATCTATCAGCGGAGAGGCTGCATTAATAGGGGTTTCATTGTTAAATTCTTCATTGTTTCGTATACATTTTAATAACAATACCGGACAGATGCTGCGGCTGCGAAGCAGGTGGAGGAGATGGCCGCGAATACTAAAGTATACTTCGCAGAACTCCCTACTCAAAATATAAGAAAATCACTCTAAAACCACCGTGACATAGCTTTCGCGATACCTTAGTTGCGTATCAAATAGTTGCTTGCTATTTGAAACGTTTCCGAACCGTTCGATATTCGCGGGTTTATCCGTGATGTCGGCATTACCTTTAATCTTTAATCTGCAGGTCGACCGCGTACGGGTAGCATGGGTACAATCCTTCCCGTACGCGCGGCCTCCGATAGGTATCAAATTCTATATGCCCAGCAAAAAACAAGATCTGAGATTGACGATCTTAGCCTACATTTCTCAGGTATTTTGGGGGAAACTTCGCTCGCCGGTTTTGATGCAATTCTAGCTCATATCGAGTATTGTGAGTTCTACTCTAAATTTTTTGAGCGGGGCGGATTGAATCGACCCTGGCCGAAACGCCAAAGCACTTGGGTTGACTATGGTCGCCCGTCTATGCCCCCTTAACTCCCTACTATTATAAATACCGATTGGGCTTGGCAAGCGGGCACAGGACCATATGTTTTGCTAGCCGGCGATTTGGTAAATGACTTGATGTTTGTATAGATATATTGGACAGGGACCTCAAATTTGGCCGGAATTCACATTACATGCAAGATGTTTCGAGCTCTCCAAGCGATTCTCAATCTACCATACCAACCGGTTTGTCCATGGCACCTTTATGTCGCTCAATAGAAAACTTTGGTGATTTTTATCGATTTGTTCAACTTCTGACTGTATTTTTTTCAACACGATTCATTGCTCAAATTGAGCCAGAGATAGTTTCTAAAAGCCCCGGGCATTCTTCTTTCCATTCGGCTAATTTCCCCATCAATCGGAGCTCTGCAGCGATTAAACTTTATTTTCAAACCTACCGTATGCGCACGAGACTCACAATCCTACCCCTGAGGATAAAAGATTAACCCTTTCGCGAGTATCCTCAATAAATGATAGTATACAACTCATTGATATTTCCTTCTAAAAGGGCGCTCTAGGCGTCCTTTTACAAAGTTACGGAGCCTTTTTGGTGTGTCTCATGGGACATGCCATCTACGGTGATTTGCAGGATACATAGAATGTATGCGTATGACTTAGAATTTGTAGAGACAATGATTACATGATGATTATTCTGCGTACCGATTATGATTTGTTTTAAAAGAAGGTTGAATACTAGCTTGAACTTGTGCAAAATGGCACAGGATGTGCCCTTTAAGAGGGGGTACAATCTACCGTGTTTTGGAAAATCATCTAAAGGGCGCTTTCTGTATCCTTTTACCGCGAAAGGGTTAATAGATATCTCCTGGGAATTGCGAATCCCCCGGACCTCCAGTTCGGGTACCCCGAATGATAGTTGCATGTACCGACTCCCTTTTGCTGTCACACAGTGCTTGTTATGATATCCAGGCTATTATCATTCAATCAAAACCATTATTACCGAAGTACTGGTTAGACCTCCTCAACAACCGCCCTCAGTTCCGACTCACCTCTATGGTAGCCAACAGAAAGTCTCCTGGGGGCGAACTCGCCTACCTGGCGGACAAGGCCGAAAGCCACCGAATCACTGTGTGTGTGTGGGGGGGGGGGGTTCATACCCGGTCCATGAGAAGCTCAAAGTACTCGACTACAGGAGTATCCACGAAACCATCAACAAGTTCTACCCTATCTTGGCAGAGACAAATGTCGTATAGGAAAACACGATTTAACGAGTCCTCGTCTCTCTAGCCTAGGCTTTCGGGACGAGCCCTTTCAACAACCCACTTCCCTCCTAAAAGGTCGGCGCTTATTGTTGGGATTAAATCTGAAGACCAGATCCGTTCCCTTACACCGGGCTGGAATGTGCCTTACGCGAGTCGTCGGTCAGGTAGGTAGAGCCCGTAAATCAAATATAAGAGCACCCTTAGCCACGAGCTACGGCTAGGAAGCAATGTACACACGCGCTTTCACGCTTAATCCACTGTGGTCCCTCAGAAGGAAGGGTACCAGGCCAATCGAGGCCTCGAACAGGGGCGCCGGGGCGAAGCCTCGGCTGGAAGTCAAATATACTGGGGGGCCACGCCACACACCCAGACAAACGTACAACTGTACAGGGAGGTCTCTAATACCTCAAACACTCGGCCACTACTCACTCTTGGCCTTTCCAGGGATGATCACTCGGTCAATGTACCTTATGCTCACCGGCAGGCATACCCCGCGTCGGCCGAGCGTATCCAGACTCTACAGCTAAGCTAAGACTTACCGGTAGACGGACTTGACCCTTGTGTGGCTTCGGGGGGAAATTCTGCTTTGATTTAGTGATTAGACGCTGTGAGGCGTTCCCTATAACTAATCCCTAATGTCTATACAAATGTCAAGTATCAACCGAGCCTTCGAGCAGGACCGACGACTCGACGACTCCTCGTCTAGGTTCGGATTCCTAATGAGAGGCAAATCTTGTACCCACTATGACTACTTGGTGGGCTCGGCGGGGATTTCATATGACCCGCCGTGCCTGGTCACTAAATGGCTGCCCATCTGTCCCTCTAGTGCGGGGAATGAGAGTAACTAATCCGAGGGCTCGGCTAGCTGTCACTCGAAGGTTCAAGACCGTTAGGCCTCGGCGCGGGCTGTTCTCGGTCATTTCCCGATATACGAGAGTCGTCGGACGCTCCTACAAGCCTGAAAACACCAGCGCCCTTGCATTGAGTTGCTGTGTGCCGAGCGGTGAGGCGCGGTCGAACGAAAGGCTCTAGGTACGGTGTTACCTTCTTCTGCTGAAAAAGTGCTCGTGGATAGGATGTGCCAGTTATTTCGATGATGTTAAAACTAAAGGCTCTATCACTCGGTAAGTAATTTACTGTTTCGAGTTTAAGGCTTCGTGGAGCTGGCTAGCGCGCTTCTAGGTGCGCCATAGATCGTCTATGTGCTCAAGAACTAGACAAAGGCAGATTACCCCGCATGAACTTGCGAACATTGCGGCAGACTTTGCTGCAGAGGTGTGGCAAAGGGCAATAGTATTTAGGTATTCACCAAATACAACGCTGACCAAGCATGTGAATTATTTTTATGTACCTCTACTTTTGTACATTAATGACTAACAATATGACCTTTAGCGGTAGGCTTTGAATATTTGTCAGAGAAAACAATCCATAAGAAGGCCAAGACGGTATGGGTGAAATGCGCGGGCGAGGAGAAGGAACGGGCCTCTGTAATGTTTTTAGGCGATTTCACGGGCACCGAGATCACACCATCCGTTGTGTTCAAGACAAAGCCCTCTCATATACCGGAGCGCAGACAGATGAACGACGAATGCCTTCATGATTTTGGGATAACCATTCGGAGAAAAGCCCATCCTGCACAAGTGGAAAAGGAATTCAGGTATGCGGTAATAAAAAAGTAATGCGTAACCGAGAACATTATATTGTATTTCGAAGTATTTTACAAGGCTAGTGATTTTAGTGTTGGCTCATGCATGCGTTTCTTGAAGGCTGGAGAAACACCTGTTCACCGATCCAGTTCCTCAAGTTTCACTCCGTGTCGCCCATCTAGGGAAAAGCCAGTTAAATCATATCGCTATAGGACGATGTCTCGAAACATTGCCCCCCCCCCGAAGTCATCTCTTTCACGCAAAAGAAATTAAGGTACACCTCCTCAAAGTACCTCCAAATGCGACATCGGTTTCTTAGTCTGCTGGTGCGACCTGGAACGGCCCGTTGAAGACCATCCTGCGAAATAAGGGGATAACCCACTTACGCCACGCGTTAGCGGCTCATACCGCGGGAGAAACGTTCAAGTTGAAGTCCCCAGATAGGTGATCTATCTGCGACTGAGCCGGCAATACTGGGAATAATGTGTCCAGATCGACAATGATCGGGGTACTCAAGAAATGCAACTCCCCGGTTGTCGAGCCAAAACATCACGAGGGCGACGACATTCTAGGTGACATGGCGGATGACATCATTTTGGCATTTGCATAAATGGGCGTCGTAGATAAGGCGAAAGGGCAGATCCACGAAGGCGACGGTTTTGATAAGGATTTTCGTTCTTAGATCAATACATTTGAGCTTGACTTTCTTGTGTACTTGGTGTATAACGCGCTGTTTCGTACTGATCACTGCGTATGAACATATTTCTTAAAATGTATACTATCGGCCGAAGTGGCCTCCGAAATGAGCAGACAGCTGCGCCTGTGGCTCTTGAACGCCTTCACGACGTACACGTTTCTCCACCTTCAGGCCACCGTTCTGATCGTCCGGTACCATTCACTTCATCGCCACCGTGTGCGCGCCGCCGACGTACTTCCATAGCGACAGCGTGAAGCTCTTGCCGTAGTTGGCTGACCTTAGCGCCAACCACACTGCACTTCACACCTGTGCAGTCATTTTTGAAGCTTTGCTACTGCCCTCACGAAACCAACCGTAATCTCCACCGCGATGAGCGTGTTTGTCCCGACCCTCCACCCGACCCTTCTCCATCAAGCAGATCGCTCAGTTCTTCTCGTCGGCTCTCCGTGCTTGTGGAGCCGGCGGGCTATCAAGTCTGCAAGTCTTGCGGTAAGCACCGCAAGCACACACCTCGGTCGGGATATACAAACTTGGTGTCTCAAGTCCGAGACTGCCACCCCAACTACGAGGTCGCGATACGGGATGCCAGTGCTGCAGGCACCGAAACGCTTGCGCCCTGGGTCAGCAGCCAGAAGGCAACTAACCGGTTTGGCTGGATGCGCTGGATCGGCATGTGCAATCTACCATTCACTTTTTGCAAGTCGGAAGAGACCCACCGGTATGGCTTTGTTACTAAATTGGATTCCTAGTTTACATTGCTAACGTGTTTACTATCGTCTTAACTACATGTTTACCAACTTACCGCCGATCTGCGTCGAGACACTCTATGGTGACATGGAGAGCGTCGTGAAGGCCGTTGAGAAGACCATTGGCGAGGAGATGCTCAACGTTGGCCTCATCATCGACGGCTGGACCCACGGCACTGAGACGTTGTCTCCCAGTGCTTCCAGGCTGATATGGTCAGCAATACAAAACAACTCCAAAAAGGCGTTCTATCACGAAACGATGGCTCGATATTGTGGGCTACTCACACTCGTACACTGTATGGAGGAAATATATTACCAGAAATGACGGTCTGCCAGTATAAGCGTTTTCAACTTCAAAATTGCAAAGTTGTAAGCTTAAAACAGCAAAACGTGAAGCCAAAACTGCAGCCGCTGAGGCGAAATTTTACTTTTTGCGGTTCTCGCCTACTGGAATGGTTTTCATCTGTATGGCGCTCGCATGGAACGTCATCATATGCAACGTGCATTTCTAGCAAATGCAGGGAGTGATTGCATCGCCCACAAGTAGATCCACCACTTGAGGTAGCCTTCTTGGTGCTGCTTAATTGTGAGATGCGGCCGCACTTGTAGAATGGTTTGGTGATGGCGCTAAGAAACGCTTAAAAGAGAAAGAGAAAAGTTCTCGATTGAATTTAGCATTGGAGAGTAGGGCTCAAGCGCAGCAGGTTCGCCGAACCGAACTCGTCTTCATCGAACTCCCCCTCGATGCTTCTGTGACAAGGGACGTTATCACATACGGGCACGATGTTGTCAAGGTGTGTGTTCTGACCGGTATGTCTCAGCAGCCGCTGAATACACTGGTTGTACTCGTCCGGCGTGTGGGAGCCGAACAGTACACCAGTCCGTCCTCGGAGATACACACGGTGCCATGGATTTTTGACACTTTGCTCGTGGTGTTCTTGTCGAAATCACGCTTTCCTTTTAAGCTGCGACCACGTCGACGAGAACACCACAAATTAAAGTTAATTTCGTCAACATAAAAATATTTTCTTACCTTCAGCTGTGGGCAATCAGGTTGACTACATAACAAATTGTTACAATTATAAGCCCCGTTACAAATAGTACTCGGTGTGTCTATTTTTATGGAGGCACAATATAAAGTGCCCAAATAGTGCCCTCTACCATAATTCACTGGCCAGGAATTTTGGAGCCGTGTCCGCCATCACGCTTAGATAAAAATGGTTTAAATAGGTACAAAGCTTCGCCTCGACACTATTGGCTGCTGACGAATCATTACCTTAACGTACGTGCTGCAGCGACCACTGCTTGGGCAACATGCGCGCGACCTCAAATAGCTTGCAGCGCCCGAAGCCGTACACAATGCGCCTCTCTCTCTCTCTCTCTCTCTCTCTCTCTCTCTCTCTCTCTCTCTCTCTCTGAATCGGCTCGGGACAGGCGGCGCCGATAGGCTCTAAAACAAATCATCTGTTGCCTCGTTTCAGAGTGACAGGACCGAGACCTGATCGACACAGTAAGTTAAACGTGCCCTAACAAGCGCTACATCGGTAAGGAAATGTTTCTTGCAGCCATTGCACGACCCCGGTACGGTTTGCAACCAAAGCGTACCATGATGGTAAGATCGGAATCTGGAGAATTGTTAACATAACCAAGGCTGAGAAAAAGACACGACGTCTGTTAGAGGTTCGAAAGACTTTCTCGACCTTGGTGTAGACACACCAAAGGCTACATACATTTACGATCACCACGACGGGTGGTCCATAGAGACTACGGATTCCTATTGGCTGAAAGCAGCATCTTTTAGCCAATGAGTGGCATGCATAGCGTTGGAATTCTGACAACCAGCCGTTGACAGATTCCTAACTTAGAATATTACATTTAGAGGAAGTCAGAAAGCATAAAACAAAATAGCAGTTCTCATTTTAACCCAAAAACATTATTTGGATCGTTTATTTCGATTAATCTATACTCGGAGGCCCGAGTATAATTAAGTCTAGTTTAAACAAAGCTACGCTTCCTCACACACGTGCGCACACGTGTAAGTAAAGTAGTGAGCCAAAGTAGGCCCATTACACCGCTCGCCGTCCTGCTCGCCGTCACCTGCGCCTTCATGGAGCGGCGCTGCGGAAGGTGATGAGGAGCATATTCTCTCCATGCTTCACCATCACCACTGCTTCATGCGCGAGGTGATGGAGCTGCACCACCTCCACAAGACCATCGTGCCGACTGACAAGAAGGTCAAGAAGAACTATCTCGCGAACGTGATCTGCACCTACCCGGACTGCACCGTCAACGTCATGACGCAGCAGGCCTTCCAGATTCACTTCACCGCCAAGCACCTCGGCGGGGATGCCAAGCGCTAACAGACGACCTGCCGTTAGATCTACCAAGCCCTCATCAATGCCTTCCGGCTGCTCAATAGCCCAGAGCACGCCGCACGCATTGGGTGCGTCACGCGGAGGAGTGCCTCGACATCCCGGCGGCCAAGATCGACTCCAGCACCAGCCACATCACCAGGCATCTCGACGACAAGATGGATGAGCTCAGCGAGGCGATTGCGACTTCCCTTACAAGGGTGTGCGACTTGATCGAGCAACGCACGACGACGAAGGCAGCGCCATCAGCGTCACCTTCGTCGTCATCATCCGCGTCATCGTCCGACCAGCCTCAACTTAGCTAAGCGACGCCGTGATGATGACGATTACGGATGACGATTACGCTTAGGTGAAGAAGACCCGCAGGGAGTCGATGGGGTCGCTGGAGGAAGCCCTCACGGTGACGACGCCGACGCCGCATGAACCCCAATCTGCTGCCGGGGTGAAGCCCCAATCAGCACTGACGACATCAGCTTTGGAGTCCATGCCCACGTCAACGACATTAGTGCCAACCGTGGAGGATGGGGTGGAGCCGCAGGACATAGGCTGGAACCGGAACGACCCGGAGGAAGAGGTGGAGACGCCCGATAACGCGCGGAAGCACACTAACTCCGGTAACAGTTTGACGGCGGCGGCGGCGAAGAGGCTAACGGAGGCTGAGTCAAGCTACCTGCCGTTGAAGACCAAGTACGATGCGGACATGAACCGCGTCAACGCCGCTGGACATCGACTCGACTCGGGGAACTCAGAGCTCATGAAGCGAGCTGAGCGGCTTATGCCACAACTACATGCGACTGCCTGTATCGCTACATCATCCAATGCATCGGTTCCCCCAAGGTACGCTTCTTCTTCCTCCTGTGCGCCGCAGCCTGGATTCGTCCGTTATCGCGATTGTGTATGTTGCCGGCATGCCTGGTGTTGGCGTACCTATTTGCAGTTTGTGGCCATCGGCGATGACTGGCATCCCCAACATGAAGGGCTAACTACGGCCCGTTACGTACTTACACAAAGCTAAAGGAAGTTGCAGGTAACTCGAACTCCGATTGATTGATTGATTGCTTGATTGATTAACGCGGCGATTCCGCGGTGGCCTCTTAAAGCTGCGCTGTTTGTTGGGCATAAGAATACCAGCGAAACGCCCGAGTCCCACCAGTTCGTGCTTAGCAGGTCGGGTGTGGTTGACGACGCTTACAATGTCGAGCCCTTCTTCTGGGCATCGCCAAAGTGCTTTCGTTGATGCTTGCACAATGCCTTCGCGTACCAGAAGACTAATTTCGCTCCTGCGTCAGTGTCCGCAACATCTAAATCATTGCAAATCTATTGAATTGCTTTAGCGCTAAAAGTAACGATAAAATGCTATTGTATACTTGTGTGGTACTCCTCGCAGCTGCTGAAGAGCCCGCCCCCGAGTTTGGGCGAACGCTGATGCTTGATCTCGAGCGAGATATTAAACGTCCGATGTACCTGGTCTCGTGCGAGGCACCAGGCACATCGCGAGTAGACGCCGTCCTTCGACTTCAAATTGTTCTTAGCAGGACTGTGGCAGGGGCAACATTGATCAGGCTTATTCTCCTTCTTGATGCCAAGAACGGTGCGTTTGGCGGAACACGTCTGGTAGTTAGCTTGCGCGTTGTCGCAGCACTCTTCACACTTGCTGTAAAGCCCACCGTTAGGATTGTAAGCGCAATCTCGCCTGCAGCCCGACATGCATTTGCCGCGTATCTCTCGATTGAACAATTGCGCTTCGCTTTGCGCGGCCTTGTCCCTGCACGCAGCACAGTTGGAGTAAATCTAAAACCTAAGATGGGATTGATCTCACCTTATTCTCGAAACCATTGGTCATTTTCTCATAACCCTAGTCCTAGCATGTGATTATTCTCATCCCACTATAAACTTATAATGATCATATGATTAACACCAGCATGGGATGGTTAAAACTACATCCGATTGAGTTCATTCTCAATAATCCTCATCCTAGATTCCTATCCACATTGAGATCATCGCATGAGCACCTCACTTTCGAACTCACCATGGAAGCCAAACCCAGCGTTACCATCTACCTCAACAGCATTAAGATCAAGTCGATCAAGTGTGAGAAGTGCAAGAGCAGGAGCTGACTTCAGCCCAGTTTTGTACCACTCCCACTGCAATGGTAAAGACCCACCCAAAGGGTAGAGCTATATCACCCGGTATGAAGCTCAGCTGCTGACGATACTACGGACCACGGACTGGACGACTGAGGCTCTGTTCCGTTGACGCTCTGCTTGGCGTCCAACGGTCCAGCACCTTAAGCAAGACGAAACTATGGATAGCCAGTCGCTGGTTAACACGCAACTACTACTCCTATATTCGCTTAGCCTTCTCACTGTCGGTGCTCTCTCCGAGCTGTCCTGCTAATCTCAGACTGAGCTGCAAATTACACACGCAATATGAGTTGGCAGCAACTGCAAGTTCTGCCAACTCCAGCTTCAACACCTGTCTACTGCTACGCAGCATCCCACATTACTTGTCGCTCCAACTGCGGCAACTTCAATTGAGGCGAGGCGGGTGAACGCCTTGATCGTCCCGGTGTATAGCGCACTATGCCGGACCGAATCGGTTCGGAGTACCAGAGATATCCGCTGCAATCCGATAGTCCTCGGAGCACAGGATGTGAACCGGGGGCCGGGAGGATCGCTTGGACTTGGCGTGTGTCCTTGTGTCAACCCCTATAGGTATCGTTTACCTTTGGCGGACCGGACTTCACCGAGTGAGTTGTTGTAAATACAGAATCGAGTCTGCTGGGTGTGTTCCTGAAACAAACTACACCGAATGAACAGAAAGTCAGACCGAATCGAAGGGACCACAGTCAGATCCACAATTCAGTATAACCAACACACAGAAATACAATGCCGAGCTAAACGTCACAAAATATACAGCCACCACTTATTCTTTAAGACCCTTGGGTGGGGGGTCTATACGCCAGTCAACTTACGAGCCGTCACCCAAGGCACTGGTCAACCCTGGATGCACACTCACTTACGCGCACCACCCTCACAGAGTGAGGGAACAATACAAAATAGTAGTCAATCCAATCATACAGTAGTCAATCAATTCAGTCTCGGGGGTGACTATCTCTACCGCCTAAGACACACAGGATGGAATATGAAATGGATGCCCGGATAGAGCACGCAAATTGGAAATAAAGCTCTCACAGATCACTCCAGGGCGCGACACCCCAGTCCCTGCCGACTTTGCCTTGGTGCCTTTGAGTCCCCACTACACCAGTGCTCGCAACACCAGCGAGGCCTTGAAACGTCCTCCGTTTTAAAATCGCACGAAGGCGGATCCCACGTATAAGCTCTTGAAGACGTCAATGTCAGGGGGAATTCCCAGCCCGAAGAAAGACGTCCGCGTGTTCTCGGCAAATTGGTTTCTGTTTGATCTTACGTTTGGCTAGCTATCTGTTTCACTTCACTGACTTCTAATAAAGGTTTCACTATGCTTGACTTGTCTTGGATATGCTTCGACCTTGTGCACGGGACTTCGATCTTCTTGCACTGAGCTTGGGTATGCTTGAATTGGCTTGGTTATCGGGCACCTTGTCGACGTCAACGTTCCTTCGGCAACACTCATCATCTGGCGACAGAGGTACGTGGGTACGGCGTCTCATCAAATCCGCACTGGACCTCTGCGTCTAACCACGTGAGCCATCCTGTGTCGCTTGACGTTCTTGGTCGATCCGGTCCTGGATTGCTGCTACACACACAGCAGTACTGGACTTGTTGTTGGTGCGGTCACGATCCAGTATGTGCACCAGTGGTCAGACCGAATTGATCATCCGGTCCGGCTTCATTCGGTACGGCACCTTGGCATCCGGTGCGTCGCTACCGGGTGCACCACGATCCAGTCCGGCAAACAGTGTACTTTGTCCTGCGAGGTCTTGGGCGCATGGGAGCATGGTGGGCATGGTGAACTTGGGGGTTGGTCCGATGTCTTGACGGAGCCAATGCAGGCAGCAGCCAGGATACGTTCACTGGCTGCACTTGCGCGCCTTAGGCATATCCTGCGGTCAGGGAAGTCGGCGGACGGACAGGATGTGTTACTCCACACCGAATATGAGCGCTCATCCGGTGGGCACATCTCCGATCCTGTGAGCCCATGCTTACTGCAAGCACCGGGTCCCGCCAAATCCACCATGCGCATCCACTATCCACATGTCACACTCCACGACACTGGATTCCTGTTCACTGCGACCAGTCACAGTCAGGCGAAGGGTCGTCCCATCCCAGCGGTCAGACATGGGTGCGGATAAAAATCCTTTCCCACATCGTGTCAACCGCCCCTCTGCTCAGGTTCTTTCACAGAGGATCTTGCCACCGAGGTGACAGGACATGAACAGACCCACACACGATGGATCCCACTCCGGATAGAAGGGGGTACCGAATCGCAAAACCGTTGAAAGGCTCTTTCCCAGAACTCAAGTCAGCCATCGTCTCGTCTCCGTAGCAAGTCTCCACACATCACAATCAAACCGTCGGGAGCAGCCGGCATCACGTCACAATTCATTTTCGATCGCGTGACTCATCACCGCCATGGAAGGCGTCGGCGACAATGCGGGGACGCCTGGCAGCGGACTGCCGGGCCCGGCACAACCTCCGCACGCCCCTCCAGCTGGAGAGGGCGCTGTGGGTGCCAACTCGGGCTCAGGCGGAGGCGCCGGTGAAGCGCGTGGCGAGCGCACGTCTTCTGGCGGCGTCAATCAAGTTGATGGCGACGTCGAGATGCCCAGCGCTAACGGCAAGGATGATCCCTCGCACAGCAAGACGCCGTCGGAGGCGTCCGACAATAACAGCGACGAACACAGTGGGCGCATCCTGAAGACCGAGGGCGACACGATGGAAGAGCGCCTGGCAGCCAAGCAACGCAGCATTCCTGGGCGCGTCCTGTCCGTGGTCGAGACGCTCAACATGCCTGCGGGTAGCGGCCTTCCGGCGAGACGCAATCCTGCGCCATCATCCAGTCCGGGCATGACCGCAAGCTGGGAGGCACCGAGTGGGTATGCACCGGATGGCGCGTTTCGGCTTGTTGGGGTTCCTGCTCACATGCGTCACCTCGAAGATGACCGCTACATGCGTGACGGATACGCTGGTCTCGAAGTGCTCACCACGATGGAATGCTTCTCAGCGACGGACCTGGTGGACCTGAACGAGCTGGTGGGCGAGGCCGAGGACGTGAACGTGAACGAGTTCTTCCTTCGACCTCGCACCGGGCCACCACCCAGTCCGACCGAGTTGGAGGCGCTGCTCGACTCCGTCCAGATGCGTCGTGAGCTAGCATCAATCTTGTCGGTCTACGATCCTCGCGATCTGGCACTGCGCACATTCAGTATGACTACGTTCATGCGCCGTTTGTTGATCCGGTACCGAACCATTCGTGGGGAGATGTAGGCGACCGGGTCGTCCACGATCGAGAAGCTGTTGACCGCCCAGAAGGAGAGCTCCCAGTTCGAGACTCACGTCACGCGGCTGCAGGGACAATGGAGAGCTGTCTTCAATGACCTCAAAGAGACGAAAGAGGCAACAGCGGCACGGTACCGGGCGTACTTCAAGAAACTCATGGCGGAACACGAGGTCGAGAAACAAACGCTACGAGACCGAATCGCTGGCTTGGCGTTCAAGCTCAAAACATCCAGTACGTGGGTCGAGTCCCTCGAGTCTCAGGTCTTCAACGTCGACCGCATGATGAACTTCCTTAGCAGGAACCAGACTAAGGTGACTGGCAACTGGAAGCGTCTGGAGGAGTTGTTCAAGCACCACCGATCCGGTACCACGCCCCCCACCGAATGGCAGACTCTGATCTCAGTCACCTCTGCAGATGACGCATTCACCGATCCCGGGCCGTTCGAGTTCCGACACGACGGCGACACCGACACGGAAGAGAAGGGCGATGACGGGTCTGAATCGAGTGAGGGCGGCACAGGGTCGCGGGGCAAGCGCGTCACTATCGTGGATGTCACAGGCGGGGCTCCACCCGGCAAGACTTCCTCGTCAGAACGTCAATCCAGTGGCGGCAAGCGTCGTCACAAGGCGGTGGCTCGGGTCGTGAATCACCCCATAACCTGGGATCCCAACGAGGAAGATGCGCGCCCCATGGGCCAAGAATATCCAGTCGATGAAAACCTTGCATGCGCTTCACTCGCCGGGCTTCCCGTTGTGTGGCGCAAGCTTCGGACGGATCTTCAGCTGGCCATGCGGACTGGATTGACGTACTCGGAAGCCACGACTCTGTTGAACAGTGACGAAATGGCCCATCACCTGTTCCATCCTTACGATCTGTCCTGCATGCTGGCTCAGATGATGTACTGGAACCAACTGGACAAGGCCTATTGGACAACTTACGTGCCAGAACGATACTTCCTTCGCGCGGAGAGCATACTGGACCGCTACGTACAGGATGGCCTCGAACCGGATCGGTGGCCCGACCAGATGGACCCCACACAAGATGACAGTGAGCTGCTTTTGGACGAGGACGAAGAGGACGTTGACAAAGAGGATCGTGACGGCAACCGGGAACCCAGCGAGGAGGCTCAAGCCAAGATCGGCCGGATGGAAGCTCGTGAGGCAGCAGCGCAACAGGATGTCGCGGAGGTACCGGACGCCAACGCTGCACCGGATCTCGTTTTGCCTTCAACTCGTCGTCCCATCATCTCTATCGGACTCAGCCACCACTGGATCTGGCAAGAAACGCAAGAAGTGATGAACGCAAGAAGTCTCCACTCGCTCGCAAGGAGATGAAAGATCTGACTCCTGAAGAGCTGACCCTGATCGAGGAACCGGGTCGAGGCATCACTTCGTGGCGCCACAAGGGCATCCTGACCACTTTTGCACCCAGTACGATGTCGTAATGCGGGTTGAAGGATTGTGAGGCGATGGACCCGGAGGTTACCCGAAGGTGACCCGAGAGTGAGCCACTTGAATTATGGGACACCGTAGCTCGGCGTCCCGTATAGAAGGCCGGCGACTGATTACGAAACCCGATGGCGTATTTACGGAGATCCAGAACGGGGAGGCCCGTAACAAGGACGATGACACCGCACGGAGACAGCAGATGACGTCACGAGGTAAAGGCGTGCAGCATACTGGTTGGTTGGTTGGCCGGCAGACGAGCCACCGGTAGATAGGCAGTTCAGTTCAGAATTTCCAACAACAAGACAAGGTACTTCTTCATATTAGTCTTTGTGTTGTGCGGTTAGGGCCTACGTATGTACTGTGACTGTTTCCTACCTACTTGCGAAGTGTACTCGGGGTTCTGGATTGATTTGGCCCACCGGTAACCTTCTAGTACCGTAGTGTGGTGCATTGTCTGGACTCAGGAGATCAGCTCTCAGTGTCCGACAGTAGGACACTCTAAACGGTTTAGTAAGGTATTGGTGTGCGTCTCGCGCTTTGGTTTGGACCCGCAGACTAGCTGCGGCAGGAGATCTCCAGTAGATCTCGTACATATTGTACAACAAGTTGTCGTACTGTGGGAAGAGTTACCTCGCTGTACAAGTGCATCCGCGACAGAGTTAACTTAAGTCTCTGCCTGCGAGTGTAAGGAACCCCATATTCACCCCATCATATTACACGTCTTCTAGGAATTACGCTAGATAAAGATCCGAGTCTTGCTACAAGGGTACACAAGGTGAGGCCTAGAGATCTCGGGACTAGTTCTCGTTGTCTTTGGGTATTTGGCTTGCAGGGGTAACCCCCCCCCCGTAGTTGCGTGGCAGGACACGTGTGGGAGTTTATTAGTTTTTTATCTGAGGGACTCCACCACAATGGTGCGCGTGCCCGGATCTACTAGTCCGAAAGGGGACATGAAGGTGAAGGGTGAGGTGAGGGAAGACGGAACCCCGCTGGGACCGGTGGAAGTTAAACGTGAAAACACTAGGTCCACCGACGGACAGGCAATGGGGACGCCTGAGCTGAAGGATTTCGTTTACGAAGAGAAGTTCCCTGTTAAGGCTCCGAAAGGAGCCGTTCGGGACTCGGTCCAAAAACCGAGTTCCATTGGACCTGCTGCTAAGCGGGACCCCGGCGTCGCTGAAAAGCGAGGTCAAAACCTGGAGCGCGAGCATCTGAAGGGGGTCATCCGCGACCTCGCTGCCCGAAGCGATGCTCTAGACGCTGCGATGGACTACATGGAAGTCGAAGATGCGAAGAAGAAAGCCGAGAAGAAAACGGAGAAATTGGAGATCTCGGCGCTAGCGGTCCATTACCCCAGCAACGACACTCACGATGAAGACAAACGATTTCGTGAAGCCGAAGTCAACTACTTCCGTCAAGAGCTTGCGTTCCTGCTCCAGAGAGATCCGCTCCTGCGTAAGTTGGGGCTGACGATACCATGGCCTCTCACGGGTCCAGTTCGCAACCCGCGCACGCTAACAATCCGAGATCCGCTCCACGCCGTCACGATGCTGTTCTGCGTGCCCGAAGATGCTGGTTTCAAGGTACATGAACAGCGGATCTCCACCGATGTACGCGAGTACGATCTGGAAACCACCGTCCTTACGCTCGCGTGGGTGTACGCAGTGTTGCAGAAGCTCGTCCCGAGTGCAGATGACTCATTCGCGCCGTTGCCGACTGGAGACCTCACACCTCCTCGGTTGGACGATTCGCGGATCTCCTTCAAGTTTAAAGATGACGGTGACGCTCTCATGAGGAGCACTACCTCAACCAAGAAGCCTCCACCGGCCCCACGTGTGTCCCGCCGAGAACGACGTGCGCAAGGGATCCCAGCGATCGCTGCAAATGATGTAGGACGCGGGAAGTCTGCACAAGTGTCAAATATTGCGCAGACTCGCCCAGCGAGAGGACCATGTGGGAGGATCCAGGAGGCTCAAGAGGTTGCAACAGAACCCGATCGCCCCGGCGGTGTGGCTGAAGACCTTCTTTACCAGTTTGCGAACGAGCGAGACGAGCCTGAAGACGTTGAGATGCAACCAGTGACTGCGTCTCCCGCTCGGCCACGTATCGGGTACCGATCCCAGACACAACCGGAATACCAAGGAGATCTCCATGACCTATCCGATGACCTCGGCTATGATGGAGGTGGCGGAACCGGAGGTCGTGTCGCAGCTGTGTCCACGGCGACTAGGTTGCGAGCATCGGCTGTGTCCGAACTAAAGGACTTCAGCGGCAAGGAACATGATGAAGAAGCCGCCCGAGCCTGGTTCAACAAGGTTAGAACGGCCTTCCGACGGGATCAGATGCAGCCAGACGAGATGTGCTTGACATTTGTCGATTTAATGATAGGCCCTGCGCGCAATTGGTATTACCAGCTGAGCCGCACCGCTCGCGCGTCGTGGACTGACCTGGGTGAACAGTTCCAGATCCACTTTTTCGGTAAAGGAATCTCCCTCGCGCGCAAGTACTACCACATGCGGCGCGGGAGTCAGGAAGACCCACTGGATTACTTATACCGGCTGAATCTGAACGGGATCCGTGCCAACTTGAAGATCCATGATGGCACCAAGGAACAACGACGTGAACACGTCGACCACTACATCGATACAGTCCAAGATGACGATCTCGCCGGATCTCTGGTAGTGTTGAGGCTGCCTGACTCAGAAGCTCTCGAAGGCGTCCTGTTGGCCATGCGACGCCGCCACCAACGTCGCAAGATTGAGACCCAAGGTTCGAAATACCGCCAAAAGGCTCCCGCCCCTGCAGCCTCCTCGAGGGCGGTGCGGGTTGTGACTACCGGTCGCGGACGCCGCGGAGATCACAGAGATCTCAACGAGTTCGAGGGCGAATCAAGCAGTTCCGATAGCGAATCTGAAGACGAAAGAGCGCACGTGTTTTCGGCAGCTAGGACGCCTACACCAGGAGATGGTGAACAGCCAGGGGCGCGCCAAGACCGCGAATACCAACTGGGGCGTCCGAAGTACGGCACTCGATGCTCACACTGCGGATCTCGCAAGCATACGGATCTCGGGTGCTGGAAGAGGCTCACGTGCCAGAAGTGTGGACGCATGGGCCATCCTACCGACAAGTGCTTCTACGTCTGCAAGTGCTGTGGAGACGTTCACGAAGCAGGTCAGTGTAAAATCGGCGACTTCTTCGATGCTGTTCGCCAATGGTACAACCCGACTCGCCATGCCGGACTGCTGCCCGAGAGCGTCGAGAAGGCGTTAAACTAGACCGCTCGCCAGGCCTGAACAGCCTGGTACGTGACGAGCGATCGAAGTTCTGCATTTATGCATATGTTCAGAGAAAGGCGCGAGCGTTAGAAGACCCAACTTCCTGTAACGCGGTGAATACAGCCAGATCTCTTACCTCGGATGAAGATGACTATTCGCGTCGCCCATGTGTGATGGCCCTTCGACTGTCGCCGGGTGAACGCCGAGGTGGCTGGAAGTATTACACTCCCTCCAAGTGGTTCAAGCAGTCGAAGGCGACCGGTGCGGTCAACAATGTCCGTGCCGTCCTACTCTTTGATACTGGAGCCGAAGTGTCGATAATCGACTCTACCTTTGCACGTAAGGTGGCTTGTGAAATTGATACAACACAGACAATGGATTGTGTTGGTGTGGGGGATGCTGTGTACCGCACAGAAGGCCGAGCAGAAGTCAAGCTTACTCTGGCTGGAGCGTTGGTGTACAAGTTCCGTGTGTGGGTTGGAGATCTCTCAGGACAAGACGTCATTCTCGGCATGGATTTTAGGGTTCCTGCGGGGGTGAGGTTGGACCTGGCTGACGGAACGCTCTGTCTGCCGGACGAAGTTCGCATCCAGATGACCGACCGTAAGCCACTGTATAGCAGCAAGGCTGACGCGGTCTACGCAACGGGATTCCATGAAGTCGGTCCTGGCCAATGGACAGAGATCTCACTCAAGTCCCACAACAAGCGGTTTGAACTGTGGGTAACGAGAGGGGAAAAATGGGTGATCACGGTGGTGAATGGTGGATTCAGTAACAAGTCATACCTCCGGATCACCAACATCAGCACGAACCGCCTGGCGCTGGATCGTTTGATGTGTTTGGCAATCTGGTTACCCGTTGGGCAGATCCCGCGTCGACCTGGATTCGCTAGGAAGGATTCAATCCGCAATCGGGAGTGGCAAACACTTGCGTTCGAAGCAGCTGTGGACACTGGAGATGCAAACGAAGCGGAAGTTGAAGAGTCTGGACCGCTGGTCGAGCGTCCTAGCTACCGGACTCCGACTGCGATTTTAGCACGGCCTCCACAAGTGAAGACCGTTGAAGCAGCAGCAACGTCAGAAGGATGCACGCGACTCACACTGAACGACACACATCCTCAAATCCAGCTGATGAAAAGTTCGACTGATCCGACTAGGGTGACCGAAACCGAGGAGGACGTGATCTCTACCGATCCCGGTCAGGTGATCTCTGGTATGGACAGCGATGACTCCAGTCTACCGCGTACGGAAACTCGCGCAGGCGAGGAGAGCGGCCTATCCTCTACAAACAGTGGCGAAACACCGGTAGGCTTGGCGTCGACTCCGGCAAATGTGGCTGAGGCCGAGCTCCGCAAGGAGTTCCCAGAATATACCCCTGAGCTCATGCCACAATCCAAAATACACGCCGCGGCCACCGAGGAAATCGTTCATCGCACGTTGTCGGTCATCGTTGAAAGCGACTGGAGCGACAGCTGTAGCTGTGAGTCCGAAAGCGCTGAGTCTACTGGTAGCTGGGGTAGTTTTGACTGGCAGACCGACGACGAGAAAGAAGAGAAGCCGGTGAGTGGAATGCTCCTAGTGACCCAGGTCGAACCAAGCCAAGGCGGAGATGCAACCGACATGGATGAAGCGAAGTATGTTCATGAAGGGGCCGATCTCACTGCGGAAGACATCGAAAAGGAGATGGCGGTGTTACCAGAGATCTCCCTGACGGCAGAAGTTAAAAGGGAAGCTCTCAAGGTCGGGGATCCAACTGAGAACACAGCAGAGGAGATTGATTGTCTGCGTGATATCATTTGGGAGCGGCGTCACCTTCTCATCGGCAAAGGGAATGCTTTACCCCCTGCGGCGACGGGGGCGATCTGTGACATCGACGTTGGTGGTGCACGACCGGTGGCTCAGCGTTGTCGCCGGATCCCGCCTCAGTTCCGTGAAAAGGTGTTCCAACTCGTCAAGGGGCTACTGGGGGCGAAGATTCTTCGGATCTCAACTTCTCCTTGGGCGTCTCCGACCGTTATCGTCGTCAAGAAGAACGGCGTGGACGTCCGACTCTCTATCGACTACCGTCTGGTCAATGCTCTGACACGACTGATGATCTACTCCATGCCGTTGATTGACGACCTCCTCGAAGATCTCGACAGTTTGCAGTGGTTCTGTTCTCCCCACATGGCGAGTGGGTTCTGGGTGGTGAGTATGACCGATCGAGCCCGAGAGATCTCCGCGTTCATTATGCCGTTCGGCCTGTTCGAGTGGCTGCGAATGCCGTTTGGTCTGAAAAATGCCCCCCAAATCTATCAGCGGCTGATCGACAATGCGTTATATGGCGTGCTGCGGATCTCGCCGGGTCAAGATCGCGCGGATCTCGTCAACATTTTCGAGGAAGGTGTTCCTGAAGATCGATCGCTGCCGTCGGTGCTGGGGCGCCGCTCTTACATCGACGACATCTTAGTTGGAGCAAGCTCGTGGTACGAACTGTGTGAGAAGGTCAAGAAGCTCCTAGAGGTTTGTGACCGCTGGAATCTGTCTATTAGCGCGGAGAAGAGCAGTTGGGGTATGAGCAAAGTCGACTATCTGGAGCATCAGATCTCCAGTGAAGGCCTGTTCACCAAGCCGAATGATTTGGCAAGTCTGGAGGCGTTGAAGTTTCCCAAAACGCATAAGGCTCTCCAGTCATTCATCGGCAGTCTCAACTACTACAATCGCTTCATCGAAGATTTCGCAGTGTATGCCACAGTGTTGTATGAGTTCGGAGATTCCGATTTCATCAAGGGTCGAGCCACAAACGTCAGCGGAAATCAGGAGGCGACTGTGAGATGGGGCAAGATGATCAACGCACCCATGGTCTACCATTTTGCCCCAGAGTTAGATCCTGTTGTGATTGTGTACGCAAGCAAGTGGGCGATCTCTGCCTCTCTCGTTCAGTGTCGTGATGGAGTGTACGTACCCGTCAAATTTACGAGTAGGACACTGCGGTCTCACGAGATCGGGTACGACATTGTGGAGAAGTAAGTACTGGCTCTGCTAAGAATCCTCGATAGCTGCTTCACCATGCTGAGTGGTCGACACATCCGAGTGCTCACCAGACACACGACTCTCGCATGGATCTTCCGCGCAAAAGGCTTGAAGGGACGGCTAGCTCAGTGGGCGGCGCTGCTCTCCCCCCATTCGCTAGAGATCGAACGTTTAACGAAAGGCGAAGATGAGCTACTAGGTTTGGTTGCCGCCAGTATCACTCCGCGCGCAGAGATGGATGCAGCCTTGGAGGAGATCTCTCCGCAGAAGAAGTCGACGAGAGCATTGGCTATCCCGATGCCGACTTTTACGCCCGGAGAAAACGTTTGCGTCGTCAGCTTTGACGGATCGGCCAAGCCGAAACGAGTTGGTGGAGCTTTCAGCGCTGTGGTATGGGATGCTCCTGGATGGAAGGTTGTCAAGGCTGAATCTGGCTATTTACCGGACCTCACTGTGAACGAGACCGAGTACCATGGCCTCCTTCTCGGACTTCGTTTGATAACCGATCTCCAGATCGACCGTCTTATTGTGTGTGGCGACTCCAATTTAGTCATCCGCCAACTGCGTGGAGAGATGGAGTGCAAGTCATCGGTACTCCAGCTCTTGCGTGAGAAGGCCAGAGTGATTTTGCGGTCTTGGCCGCAATGCGAACTCATCCACGTAAAACGCGATTGGAACCAACCCGCGGATATGCTGGCGGGACAGGCGCTGCAGCGTGGTGCCGGGGTAGTTGTCGAGAGTCACACCGATTACACGGACCTCGAGACCTTGAATCGACTGGACGAGCTCCTCAAGACGCGCGAAGAACGTGACGCCCATCCGAAGGTAGGCGTTGTCACGCGAAGCCGATCTCGTACTGTCGCACCAGTCGTGTTGCAGGAAGACGTCGTCAAGCAGCTGCGCTTGGAACGTATTTGCCGTGCTCAAGACGAGGAGGTGTGGATCTGGCCACTGAAGTGTTTCCTGCACGGTGATCTCTCTCAGATCTCGAGCCGTCAAGCCAAGACGTGCAGTAAACTGGCTGACAGTTACGAGGTCGACGAGCATGGCCTCTTGATGTACTGTCCAGTCGAGGGGCGCGGTGGTGATGTCGAGGACCGTGGATCTATGGTGAAACTGGTAATGCCGAGTACACTCCACGAAGATCTCCTGCATCATTTCCACACAAGTGTGGAGGGAGGTCATCAGGGAGTCAGCCGAACATTCCAAAGCTTCGGAGGCATTTCTACTGGCGAGGTATGTTCCGAAGTGTGCAGAAGTATGTCGGGGAGTGCGTCGACTGCGAGACGGGAAAAGGAAAACCCACCTTGCGGGCGCGATCGCCGGGCAATATCGCCGCTAATTACCCTTTCCAGGTCGTGGCTATGGATCATATCCCCACCCTCGCGAAGTCGTTCAAGGGCAACACAGAGCTCCTAGTCTTCGTGGATCTCTTCACCGGCTTCGTTGTGGCAAAGGCAAACGCGGACAGGACCACACCAACAGTGGCTGGGGCATACGAGGAATGCGTGCTTCGGCGGTATGGAGCCAGCGAAGTAATCAGGCACGACCAGGAACCGAGCTTCATGTCCGACTTTTTCCGGTCGTTTAATGCGCTGCTGGGCCAGCGTCAGCGATCTACGCTCGCGTATAGACCTCAAGTAAACGATACAGCGGAGCGGATGGTCCAGACTATTTCCAGATCTCTGCGGATGTACATTGAAGACGAGAACCAACAGGACTGGGATGAATATGCGGAGCGGTTGGTGTTTGCGTTGAACACATCGCACGACCGAGAACGCAAGGACACGCCATTCTTTTTGCTGCATGGGTGGGACCCTAAAACGAATATTGAGGCATCGTTGACTGTTGGAGGGACCGGAAGCCGAGATCTCGACCCACAGAAATGGAGGTTCAAGATCTAACGCCAATACCAACGTGCTCAGACAGAGACTCGTCGTCTCCTCGCCGAAGTTCGTGAGAGTCGCGCGGAAGCCCACAATGAGAACGTACCGGAGTCACCCATTAAGGAGGGATCGCAGGTGTGGCTGTACCTCCACCGAGTCAAGGTCGCATACGTTCGGAAGCTCGCTCACATGTGGCGTGGGCCTTTCAGAGTCGCCACCCTGGTGAACGACTACGCTACCAAGCTGGAAATCAGCGGGACTGACTACCGACTGTTCCCTATCGTACACATCTCGAAGCTGAAGCTGGTCCGACAGTTCCCCGAACGACCCGCCGAAGATCCCAATGTTGATGAAAGCGAACGATTTGACTTTGACGAAGAACTTCTCCCCGAGGATAGCTGGGAGGCACAAACTCGCGGAGACAACGAGTATGAAGTTGAAGAGATCTTGGATGTCAAGACGGAGAGACGCACCCGTTACGGTCGACGGCTCCAGAAATATTTGGTGCGTTGGAAGGGCCACGCAGAGACGAATTGGGTCAAGGAAGAACACCTGAACTGTGGGGGTCTGCTGTTCGACTTCCAGCAGAAGCGACGGAGCCGGCAGAGGTTCCATGTGGTGCAATCGCGTGGAGAGGCCGACATCGCCGAAGAGTGAGGCGGTGTTGGGGGGTAGTGTGGTGGACGCTATCCGTAATGGTGGATGGTATTTGTTGCACATTTACAATTGATTGAGTGAAAGAAGAAATGGAGAGAAGACCACGCGATGGAATGGAGAAACGAGGTTAGTTCTGATGATCAGGTCGGACATTAGAATTACGGCGAACGAGTACTCGGGGGCAACTTGGAGATGCAGCCCGGTGTCGCAGTGCTGGAGACACCTGGGGTGCGAACGCGCGTCCGACGGCTGCTGAAACGCGCTCGCCACGACGCTCTGAGCCTGTGCGATGGTGAAAACCGGCACTGTTCGTGTCGGAGACTACCTTCGCGTTCCGTCGATTATAGCCGGATCGCTGTCGCCGCTGATTTGGAGATCCAGCCCGGTGTCGCAGTGGTCGAGGCGCCGGAAGCGTGAAGGCGTGGTCGGTGGCCGTCGGACTAAGTGCACTCCTACGCCTGGAGTTTGTACTATGGCCCTGATCACCACAAATCACTTCCCAGAATGCACGGCGACCTACGGCATGCCTTCACATCTCCAGTTGGGGAGATCTCCCAGTCATGACATTGACTGTGTACAATTAAGTTGTGGGGCGGGAGTGATATAAAATGGAGTCGAAGCCGGTGTATTACGATGTCGATAAAGAAGATGCATGCTCGCGGAGACTACCCACTAGCTACGTACATTGGTGAAGGAAGAAATGTCGGACGCTGGAGATTTCCGGTGGTCCTCCTAGGTCTGTTCAGCTGACTCAGGCTAGGCGATTGACGAGGTCGCCTTGAACTTGCCTCGAAGGCGCGTGTGGATGGGTTCGTTCATCGGTGGGTGTTTGGCACGAGCGTTCCAGTAGAACAGGCGCACGGCTTCGCCTCGTCAGTCGTTCGTAAGACGTGTAACAGGTCTCCAGAGGCACCAGAAGCTCCCTTAGGGAACCACGGGCACGTTGCGACCAGCGGCAGGAAGAATGGCTCCAGAAGAATGTCCAATTCGCACACATAATCCTTGCACAGGCGGGCCACCTCTTCGAACACAGGCAGCAGCATCTTCACAAAGTGGGATCTCCGATTCTTACGATCCGAAGTGAACTTCACCTCCCAAGACTCAGCGCTGGCCTTGGAAATGGAAATCTCGATGGAGTGGGTGATCTTCCAGAACACAAGCGCGCCACGATTATCGTTCCGAGTCAGCACATCGCGGATGATGGCCAGAAGAGGTTGGAAGCGGGGATCTCCAATGTCGAACGAGATTGGGTCGGGCATGTTATCCAGGAAGATCTTCCAGGGACTCGCTTTGTATAAAGCTTCGACCGAGGGTTGTGGCCAGGGCCGATAGTCAGCAGGAACGGCCAGCTTCCCCTTCTTAGGGTTGCACACCCCGGCGGGTAGCAGCCAGTCGCGTGGTAAGAACTTCGAAGCGAGGTCTTTGGCTGTAAGCTGGTCAAGGCGGTGACCTGCAACAACCTCCCACAGCCATGGCGTGACATCGGCAGGGCGCGCAGCTTCGCTGGACTCAGGTGGAATTGCGTGCATGAATGGGCTTTGGGCTGATACAGAGATCCACGGGCTGTCAGACGGAGATCTATGAAAGTTGCTTGTCTGACAATGAGGAGGAGCTACGTACCCATCGCCGTAGAGGAAGACAACTCAGCTGGCGCTCCCTCGGTAGTCGCAACGGCACGCATTGCACGCTTCGACGGTGACGTTGAATCAGAAGAGAGATCTCCACTTCGCTTTGCCGAGCCAGACGGGAGCTGCTGCGAAGATGTTCGCGCTGGAGGATCAGAGGAGACAAGGCTCGTGACCGTTGACGCCAGTGTGGCAAGAGACGAACTGGAAGAGGCCGACGCCACGCATCGTTCCACCACAGGTTGCGGAGTTGGCGCAGGTACCAGATTGATCAAGTTGCGCAACGCTCCAAGGTGTTCCTCACGCTCCGCTAGTTTGCTGCGGAGATCAGCAGATGAGGCCTGCTCCTTCAGCAGCGACTGTCGACTCGCATCCAGCTCCGCCTGCAAGTCGTCGCGAGCGAGGGAGGCCTCCGCTCGCTCTCGTTCTACAAAGCAATAAACGCACAGGTCAGCACAAGAGTAAACCCGCCACATTAGCACGCGCGATCATGACCTGCAGCCACTGCGCGATCCTGAGCTGTTGCGAGATCAGCCTGACGATGCTCCAAACTGTTCTTGAAGACGACGTTCTCACGCCGTAGAACGGTGTTATGCTGAGTCAGCCGAGTGATCTTCCTCTCCAACTCCTCCAGTCGCTTCCCAGCCACCTTATGCCGCTGTGCGAGATCCGATACCGCTGTCGCTGTGGAGATCAAGGCGTTAGTGATGCAACATCAACAACCTCAGCACTTGGGACGACTTACCACCGTCTTGCGCCTTCTTCGACGCCGCCGCCGCTTCTCGTCGTGCTGCTTCTGCGTCCTCACGAGCTTTGAAGGCATCCAAGCGAAGGGCGTCCATCCGTGGCGCTGCTTTGTTGACCAGCGTGCGCGATTGCGCCAACTCGGTCTGCAACCTGTCGATTGTCGCCTCCGCTTGGCGCAATTGATTGCGAGATCTGTCTCGTTCGGCATTGGATCGTTGCAGGGCAAGTCCCGCGCGTCCGTCACTAGTCCGATCATCATCAGTGGCAGCTTCGCTGGCAGCCAACAGTCGGCCACCTGGGCCCACCGATGCAGTGGGAGGAGGGGTCCAGGTAGACTTGATATCTGCCAGCACGGCTCGTAGATCATCCAGATCTCCGAGGGCGATCTCCAACTGACTGGGGACGACGTTAGAGGGAGATGCTGCAGCGGACAGAGTGACTTCATCGGCATCAGCTGAGCGAGCGGCGGCCCGTGCGAGATCTGCGCGTACTTGTTGTTCAGCAGCTTCGGCTTGCTGACGGCGTTCTACTTCGGTGTTCAGGGCCTGCTGGAGATCTCGGAGACGACCGTCGGCTTCGTTGCGCACGCGTTGAACCTCCAGATCGCGATCATGGATGGCTCGATGAAGACTTGCAGTGTGGCGACCAGATGCTTCAAGAAGATCCTGGGTGACGTCAAGACGGCCCTGGAGATCCAGCACCTCGTGATCGAGGGCCGCGGTGACTTGAGCAACCTGGATAATGCGCGCGCGTTCCGATAGAGATGGCTGCGAACCGGAGTATGGAGCCGCGGCCGGTATAGATCGACCAAGGGAGTGACAGGCGGTGCAATCTCCGTGGCTGTTGGTCGACGACGGGGCAGCACTCAGCAGAGGGACGCCGGCGGCCGACGACGAAGGCGACGACGTGGGTGGAGAAGCAGACATGGTGCAGGAGCTCTACGCGTGGCAGCCACCTGCTCGATGGCCTCACGCGAAGAGAGGGCGGATGTCGTAATGCGGGTTGAAGGATTGTACCCGGAGGTTACCCGAAGGTGACCCGAGAGTGAGCCACTTGAATTATGGGACACCGTAGCTCGGCGTCCCGTATAGAAGGCCGGCGACTGATTACGAAACCCGATGGCGTATTTACGGAGATCCAGAACGGGGAGGTCCGTAACAAGGACGATGACACCGCATGGAGACAGCAGATGACGTCACGAGGTAAAGGCGTGCAGCATACTGGTTGGTTGGTTGGCCGGCAGACGAGCCACCGGTAGATAGGCAGTTCAGTTCAGAATTTCCAACAACAAGACAAGGTACTTCTTCATATTAGTCTTTGTGTTGTGCGGTTAGGGCCTACGTATGTACTGTGACTGTTTCCTACCTACTTGCGAAGTGTACTCGGGGTTCTGGATTGATTTGGCCTCCCCGGTAACCTTCTAGTACCGTAGTGTGGTGCATTGTCTGGACTCAGGAGATCAGCTCTCAGTGTCCGACAGTAGGACACTCTAAACGGTTTAGTAAGGTATTGGTGTGCGTCTCGCGCTTTGGTTTGGACCCGCAGACTAGCTGCGGCAGGAGATCTCCAGTAGATCTCGTACATATTGTACAACAAGTTGTCGTACTGTGGGAAGAGTTACCTCGCTGTACAAGTGCATCCGCGACAGAGTTAACTTAAGTCTCTGCCTGCGAGTGTAAGGAACCCCATATTCACCCCATCATATTACACGTCTTCTAGGAATTACGCTAGATAAAGATCCGAGTCTTGCTACAAGGGTACACAAGGTGAGGCCTAGAGATCTCGGGACTAGTTCTCGTTGTCTTTGGGTATTTGGCTTGCAGGGGTAACCCCCCCCCCCCCCCGTAGTTGCGTGGCAGGACACGTGTGGGAGTTTATTAGTTTTTTATCTGAGGGACCCCACCACAACGACTTACGCCGTCTATCAGTCTGCAGGTTTCCCTGACTACGCACCGAACCACAACGGCGGGACGGGGCCACTCAAGGATCGCTTCAATGTGGACGAGTACCGGGCGATCATGGAGACCCGACCGGGCGAGCGGATGTACAAGCGTCATGTCATCAACCTCCTCTTCCACAAGCGTTACGCCCTGGGAGTGAAGGCCCACGTCGTGCTGACCAAGATCGTGAAGTTCATGAAGGACAACGCGCTGGTCATCTGGTACGCGGGACACTGGGTGACGTATCCGGAGGATCGTCGTATGGGGTGAAGGAGAAAAAGAAACGCAAGGGTCTGCATGATCCTGCATCAAGAAATACGCCGAATTGATCACCAAACTTCTGGAAGCAGGGGCCCCGAAGACGATTCCGTACGAGCCGGGCATCTGGGTGTATCCTGCGAAGGTCTGTCCCTGGATCCTGTTTGACAAATCCGAGAAGAAACCGGATGGGAAGCCGTACACGGTGGCCGAGCAGCTCGAAATCCTGGATCGCGAAGAACCGGCTCACGTCCAGTGGACAGGGTGGGCCCTCGATAGTATCATCGCGGATCGTCCGGCGCACATCCGGAAAATGCTGCTGTCTCCCGATGAGCGTGCCAACAACTGGGTCTGCGCTGATCACCGTAGCTAGTTGCACACTCGGTGTAGCCACAAGCTAATCTCCACAATTTCATGTCATTCACGTTCATCACCTCACTTCTTCGTCTTAGTCTTATGTCATTCGGTCCGTCTGCTCTTCATTCTGTCGCTCACTCCATTCAGGGGCACAGTCACTGGTCGATTTAGTCGGCATCTTCATTTTTCCACTACTCTACTCGAATTCTCCACAAATTCAGTGTCGACAGTTCACAATCAAAATCACATTCAGTTTCAGTCAGGTCACACGTCGGCGGTCAGGATCGAGTGTTCAATCCGGTACTAGACACTGGGGTGGTCATCACCAGCCTGCATAGACTGGAACCTGGCCTTAGCACGGGCACTCTGATTGAATTCATACAGAAGCGCACCACAATTGAGTCTGGTCACTGGTAACCACTCAGGATCGTCGTATCCTTTCCACTTGATCAGGTACTCGCGGGCTCTCTTGGAAGTACGAGTGCGCTTGGCCCACCGGAGGTCCAGGATCTTTTCCACTTCGTACTCATCATTCTGTTCGTCCGGCTCCCAGCTGTCCTCGGGCAGCAGAGCTGCATCGAAATCGTCGTCATCATCCAGATCGAGTTCCGCGGTAGGTCGCTTCGGAAACAGAGCGCGAGGCCTGAGGCGGCTGATGTGTACCCAGGAGTTAACACGATATCCTGTGTCCTCCACCTTGAGTTTCACTCTGAAGTTATCGTGTACCTCTTCGATCCTGAACGGCCCATGCCACATGTGAGCCAGCTTGCGGCTCAATCCGGTCTGGACTTTCGGGCTGTAGAGCCATACCGAATCACCCTTCTCAAATCCTGTCTTCAGCCTCTCGGACAATTCTCTCAACTTGCGTGTCTGTTCTTCCGATCGTGTTCGCTTCGCTTGTCTCTGGAGGTCCTCGGCACAGGCTATTGCGTAGCTGTAGTCGCGCTGAAATTTCCGACGCCACTCGTACGCAGTGCGTTAAGGCATACTGGATGGTTTCGGTCCTAACATCGCCGACACCGTGCCTTGCGCATCCCAACCGTGTACCAGATAGAATGGAGTGTCCAATCGGGTCGCGTCGAACGAGGTGTTGAGGGCGAACATCAGTCGCTCAGCGTGATCATCCAAGTCAGACTGGTCAGACTCAGCGATGTAAGCGCGGACGCTCCGGATGACGGTCTGCACCAAACGTTCCTGTTGGCCGTTCGCTTGAAGACGATATGCCAACGTGGTACGCTGACGACTGCCGAGTAGCTCCCGAAACCGAGTGAAGACCTCACTCATGAAACGTGGGTCTTGATCGTGTCTGATCATCGACGACGCACCGAAATCCCGGAAGACTCGCTCTTCATAGGCATCTGCTACATCCTGTGCCGTCGTAGACGACATGGGTTTGCACATCACGTAACCAGAGAATGAATCCTGAAACAGCAGTAGGAAGGTGTCCCCTCGTGCCGACTTGGGCATGTGCGTCACAAAATCCATCGACACAACTTCAAACGGGCGCCTGGGCTCGATGTTACCAAGTGACGGTCCATGATTGGGAGGTCGCCCCTTTCCACTTGCACAGTCAACGCACTCCTTCACGAAATGTTCCACGTCGGCATACATGCCGGGCCAGTAGAACTCGGAGCGTAACCGCTCGTGGGTGCGGGTAATCCCCTGGTGTCCACCTTGAAAGTCCTCGTGAGCGTAATGCAGCAAGTCAGCGTACAGGGTTTGCGGCACCACAAGACATGGCTTATCATGTACGTCCCGAGGTCGATCTCGAGTAGACCGCGCGAGTCGATACAGGATGCCTCTGGCATCCAGTGCATACAAGTCCGAGAGCTTCGCGATCTTGCGAAGCCGCCTCGGAGAGAATCGATCCAGGTCGCCACTTAGACACGCTTTGACTTCCGAAATGAACTCATCCTGATCCTGGTGTGCCTTAACCCTGCGCCACCTCTCGGCTTGGAACTCCAATGGGCCCAATGGGTCACTCGACTCTGTCTGCTCCTGTGTTCTCAATCTGGTCAGGACCGCCATGACTCGAGCACAGTGAGGTAACGGAGCAGAACCGGGGTCCTGTTCGACATTGTCTGGTGACCCACATCCGGTGTCACCACCTTCTTAGCAGCCGATCCATCTGGTGCATCCTGAACTCCCTCACTCACATCCTGCGCCACAACCACTGGCTTCATCAGCTTTTCGTGGATCTTTGACACTCGCTGCAGATGGATTCGTTCCTCCTCATCCTGGACATTCCACGTGATACCCAGCGCTAGCGTCTTGGAGGTCAGGTAGTCCGCGGCCGAATTGTATTCGCGTTTCACATGAACGAACCGAAGCGTACTGAATCATCCTTTCAGAGTTTTGCACCGAGCCAGATGTCGTTGAAGGTTGGGTTGGTTGCAGTTAATCAGCCCTTGGACTTGTTGTATCACAATGCGAGAGTCTCCAACCACGATCAGGTCTTGAACGCCCCGATCCAGTGCCATGGTCAGTCCATTCAGTAAGCCGTGATATTCTGCATCGTTCACAGTGACAACACTCAGGATGAAACCTTGTGCATCCAGTACGCCCCAACCGGGAAGGCTCCACAAGACGCATCCGCAGCTTCCTTGGCGAGTCGACGTCTTGGCTGCTCCGTCGAAGCTTAACACAATACCTTCGAAGTCAGCATCCAACATCTCCATGCTCACCACTGGTGGTGGCTTGACCCGCCCCTTGGCTGGAATCAGCGACTCGGCGATCCGGTCCAGGTGCTCTTGGGGGGTGATACCCGCACCGAGTATAGCGGCTAGACCGTCTTCATCTCGCTGAATTCGGCGAACTTCCAGGTCCCACTGGGAAAGAGTGACGCCCCATGGTACGCAACGTCCATCCGCCGACTTGGACTGAATCACCCACTTGAGTACCGAATAGCGGGTGTACACGATTATCAGTACTCTCATGATCGCGATGACTTCCTTCTCCGCAACGTGATACCGGACTTCCGAGTCATTCAGTACACGCCCCGTGTAACGGACGGGCTGAATCAGTCCGTCATGCTCATGACCGAGGACTGCACAGGCTGCCCACTGGTTCGCGTGAGGAATGATGACGAACGGCTTGGTCCGGTCCGGATGACGTAGCAATGGGGTCGACACGATCTTCCGCTTCAGGATCTCGAACGCTTCCTTCGCCCTCGACAAGTCCCTACCGGATCGGACTTGATCGTCGCTCAGCTCGTACAGGACTGCAGCTACCACCGGAAAATCCTCTATGAACTTGTGGTAGTAGTTCAGACTGCCGAGGAAGGACTGGATCCCCTTCAGAGTAGACGGGAATGGTAGATCCAGTACGCCCTTAGCGATCTTCGGCGACGCCCTGAGTCCTTCTGCACTGATCTCATGAGAGAGATACGGGAACGAGTGCTTACCGAATTCACTCTTCGGTAGACTGACAGAGATGTTCCAATACCACAACCGAAACAGTAGCGCATCCGGATCGATGCAAAGTTGATCCCACGTAGGCGCCCCATGCGCGATGTCATCAATGTACGAGCTCCGTCCTAGGACAGGGCCCATCTGCATCGGCGCCGGGATGTTACGTTGGAACACGGTCATCTGGTCTGTCAGCGCGGGTAGACGTCGGCCAGACAGGATTTCGCCGTCCGATCCGGTGTCGCTCCCTGCGACGTTGTCCTCCTGCGGCTTCAAACCCAGATAATCCAGTACGTCCTGATCCACTTGCGTTTCCTCACCAGGTGGTAACCGAACAAAGCCCCACAGACAGTTGTTGAGCATCTGCTGGTACACCAGCGGAGCATTCTTCAGACCAAATGGCATGCGTCGCCACTGGTAGTGACCGAATGGCGACACGAACGTCGAGATGAGCTTGGCTCGCTCTGTCATCCTGATCGCCCAGAAGCCGCTGGTCATGTCCAGACTCATAGACCACATCGCGCTCTCGAACCCGATTAGCAGGTCATTAATGAGCGGGAGAGGATAGTTGGACAACTGGATAAACCCGTTCACGATCCGGTAATCAATGCCCATCCGGATGTCGACCCCGTTCTTCTTCAGTACGATCACGATCGGTGACGCCCAGGGTGACGTAGATGTCTCGATCAATCCAGTCTCCAACAACTTCTTCAGCAACTCGTACACCTTCATCGCAAGGTGCGGCGCAACCGAGCGTGCCTTTTGTGTGACAGGCTTAGCGTCTCCCACATCCAGATCGCAAACGACTCCGCGAACTGGGGCAGGTGCCGCATTTCCATCACCTAAGAAGATACTTCGGCGGTACCTCAGGATGCCACGTAATCGGTGTTCGTCATCCGGTGTGCTCACGCCAGGTTCGCCAACATCAGCCTTGTCAATGTCGCACTCGGGACTTAAATCCTGCACCTCCGGGAGGAGTGCGACTTGGTCTCGCAGCTGGGAGAGCAGATCGCTCCCTCCATGAATGTACACGGCTGGTTCAAAGTCCAACTCCTCCACACTTAGTCGCATGACCCACTCGTACTCTTCTTTGAGTTTCTGCACCGGAGGGCAGGGCAGGATACCGGATGGTAAGTCAGAGACATTCTCGTCGGTCACATCTGGTGTCTTCATCCGGTGCAACCGCGTCATAGAAGTCCTCGTCGTGCAACATTCTCATCCGGTGCGACAGCCTCGAAAAACGCTTCGTCATCCGATTCGGTGTCACTGGTGAAGTCCTCAGCACCACGCGGAGTCGCACTAGACTTCACGGTCGGGTCAGTCTCTGGTTCCTTCGTCAGCGGTGTTATGCGCTTGAAGCTCGGTTCTTTCTCAACCAGGTCCACCACCACCGGATCCTCACCAAGTTCCACGATCCTGTCCGACTTGGTCACCGGATTCTGCAACACCGAGGTGAAACACGTCACGTCCTTCTTCCCGTCCGGATATAGCATCTACTTGGGCGGACATGAGTACTTCGCAGGCTCCACGGCGGGCGGTTCACGATCCCAGAGTGCTTGCAGCCGACGTTGTTCCCTCAGCTGACCCTGTTTGGACAAGGTGTTCTCGTAGATCATCACCTGCCACTCCTTGTATGCCCTCGATCCTGGACGGACGAACCGTCCTACGGTCGGGAAGAAACCATACTCCACAATGTAGGCCAGCGTGGTCCCGGCCACGATCCAGAGATTGTTGGACGAGATGTTCACGACCTTGACTGCCTCGAACCAGGACTTCGCTCCGTACACGATCTTGGTCACCCAGCGATCACCACGTCCAGCCCACACGACTTCTCGCTGTGGGTTGGCTTGGCCGAACCGGATGCGCACAACAGCTTCTTCACCGGGTCGGAGGTACAGGGTCTCTGGCGCTTGGACCGGCACCCTCATTCCTTGTCGGCGTTGCACCTTGTCCCCGTACATGAGCACATGCTCTTCATCCGGTAACTGCAGAAGTCCTTCTCGTACACACAATCGAACGCCGGCACAGAACATAAAGTTCATATCCAATAGCACGTCCACACCTTCACCGATATTCGCAACCCACACGTCCATGACGTACACCACTCTCGATCCGAGCGTGATCTTGACTTGCGTGCTAGCAGAGATGTAAGTGGTTTTGCCACCCAGTCCGGACACCTTGATCTGTTTATGCCGGTTGAGCTTGATCTTGAGTCTACGCGCAAGATCCAAACTGATCATACTCACCGACGCTCCGGTTACAACAAAATCCGCAAGCGGAAGTCGTTCACTGCGCCATGTACCGTAGTCAACTCATGCGAATTCTTGTCTGGCTCATGATCAACCCACCATCCATACCGCTCACCCGGTTCCAGCCGAAATTCAGTCGGTCCATCCGGTGCTCGCAATTCGGAACGGCTCAATCCAGAACGATCATCAATTTGGTCAGACTGAATCGGGTCATCGTTGCTCAGAGAAATCATGCATTGTTGGTTATCTTGGTGGCTGATCCTCAGCTCTGGTCCGACGTAGGCTAACACACACAATTCAGGGGCCTTCAGCCCGGCGCGTACTGGGTCCCCACCCAGCGGGCTTAGTGGTTTAACGGCCCCCCCTGAATTCGCCTCGTCATCCAATAGCTGATCCAGTAGGTTCTGCGGTATGTCCTTCAGTGCTCCATCTTGTGCCAGCTTCTTCAGTGCTTCGATGGTCTTCATAAGTTCACACGGCCCTTCATGAAATCGTTCACAAATCCTGCACGGGTTGACCTTGCACACGCGCATCGGGTGTCCGCGTCGGTGACAGCGATCACACACGATGTCTATCCAGCAATTCTCCTGTCGGTGTCCAGGCCTCTCGCACTGCTCACAGAATTCATTCCAATCAGGATTGCTTCTTCTCGGCGACTGCGGCGCGGAGGGCTGACCGAATCGAGACGCCCCTGACTGTTGGCCAGGTGGCGGCGGTCTCCTTCCTGAGCCCGTCATCACCCTGAACACTGCGTCACGCAGTACACCTTCATCCAGTACTGGCGGTACCAGGTCGGGATCCGCTGATCGTGTCGAGGCAGGAGGGACCGAGTCGTGCTTTGGTGCGACCTCGACTCGGTGTTCATCCACCTCGTCTTGGAAACGCACATGACGATCCTCTTCGCCTGATTCATCCTCGCTCTGAACGACGTAAGCGCGGCCAGGACCCTTCGGTCTGAATCGCTCGCGTTCGCGGTCTCGATGCACGTTGCCCGCGCGGAAGTCGCGTGGTCTGGATGCCGAGTTCTCACGTCCGCTGTCCTGGTGATCGTCTTCGTATTGACGCAGAATGAACTCCAGGTCGTTGATGCTGTGCAGACGCTGGCTCTTCAGACTGGATCGAAGCTTCGACTCGGTCAGCTTCCGGATAAAACGCTTGATGTGCATCTCACGCGTCCTAGATGACTTCTTGAACTCCACATTCGCCTTGCAGGCGACCGCATTCAGTCGGTAGAAGAAGTCAAGCGCCGATTCAGTCCGTCCTTGCTCGATCGTGTAGTACCTCTCCGAGTCGGACATCCTAGACCGGAAGTACTTGCGCTTGAACGCATGGGATAGCTGGGTCCAGTCGTCTCGTACATGCCTCGGCAATTGTGCACGCCAGTGGCGAGCGGATGTAGGAAGCTTCAGGCGTAACTCGTACACCTTCATGCTGTCCGTCCAACCACCCTGAACGGTCAAGGTGAGGAATCGCTCCCACCATCGTGTCCGCTCATGGTACGACGCCTTGTCGTCGAAGTCTTCGAGTGAGTTTGAGTTCTCGTACAGCCGGAAGTTCATCACCGTCTTGCCGTCCTTCGTCGTCACCGACGTGGAGTGCGTGAGCACGTTCGCGAGCGAGTCGTCGGAGTCGCTTAAGCTGTAGCCTTCGTCGTAGCCGTCATCAGAGCTCGAGTCCGGGTCGGATCCGGAGGGGTCACCACTTCCGCGACTTCGCCCACCGGATGGACGCTTGCGCGGTCCTGACCTGGTGTCCTTCGCATTCTTGGCAGGCTCCTGCTTCACGGGCACCTTCTTCGCGTCCTTCGCGGGAGCATCCTGCTTGTCCTTCGCCAGCGCAGCTTGAACAGCGCGCGCCTTGGCTCCCGTGGTTGCTCTCGCCTTGAGAACGCTGTTGATCGTCGCCTGAAGTTGGGCTGCTAGAAGCTCGTCGGCACGCGGCGTCGCAGACTGGATGGGCGCCTGACCAGACTGGATAGGCACACTGGATACTGGGTGCAATGTCTCACGCCCGGTCTCTGTCTTCACATGCGACACCGAATCAGATCCCGATGTTGCTTGAGCCACTGGATTTGCCTGGCGTGTTGCACGAAGGTTGTGTAACTGGTTGGCCTGAAACCGCTGAATGTTCCGGGAAGATTCTCGCTCCCTCTCCCGCTCAGCTTCTATCGGGTGGACCATCTCTTGGAATAAATCCAGTTGAGCGTTGAGTCCCCGTTGCATGTCTTCGGTCCATCGCGCTCGTTCGGCTTCGGCTTGCGCTTCCTGTTGTCTCCAGCGTTCGGCGAACTCGGCGGCGGCGCGCTCGTGCTCTAGGCGTGCTGCCTCGGCGCGGCCGCCACTTCATGCGCCTGCATCGTCGACATCGGAGACGTGCTGGGCACGCTGGGAGGCTCCGCGACTGGGGCGTCTGGCCTCGATCCGGTCTGCACACTGCCTTGAGGGGTAGCGGTGCGTCCGGCGAGCTCTTGAATCGCCTGGAACGCGCTTTGAAGACCTTCATTCAGTCGGGCCGCGTTGGCAGCGGATGCCTCCTGGTTCAGCTCCATCCTGGCCAGGGCTTCCTGCGTCTGGCGCATCGTGTTGAGCGCAACTTGGGACGCCCCGGACATCACGGACATCGCTGAGCGGCTCGATCGACCGGATCGAGTCGACCTGCTCGACCGACTCGGTACGCGCTTCGATCTCGAAGACCTTCGGCGGCGTATCCGGTCCTCGTCACTGGAGTCAGACTCACTTGGTGACGGGCTTCGCCTCTCGCGCCTGGACGTCGTTTGCCGACCGGATGAAGCTCTCGACCTTCGGTCACTCCGGACGGTGGTGCGATCGGACTCTGACATAACGACATCGTCCTGATCCACCGCCGTCGATGACCGAGGGAGTGCTGTCCGGGTGATCTCAAAGACTCCTCCGCCTGCGCCAGACTGGATCGCTCCTACCTGCGCGGTCATCACCATGGGTCCGTACCCAATCGCGAACATGAGCCTCGCGGCATCGTGTCCGGACCACAGCGACGACGAAGACCAGCTGCCTCTGGACGATCGACCTGCTGACGCCGCACTGAATGCCGAGTCGTTGGATCCAGCCGTCGTCCTGAACAGGCTCGAATCAAGATCCGAGGGTGAACGAGATGGCGGACCCGGTTGCGCCAACACTCCAGTACCGGATGCGCGCTCAGACTCGCTGGACGCGTGGACGACGGGAGCGAGGACAGCGGCGGCGCGGACGGGATCGACGACACGGACTGGATGGACGGCGGGCGAGGCGGTCCGTGCTGCGGGCGCTTGGAATCCGGTTCGCCGGTGGACGACCCTTGCGGGCTTCGTGTCCTCCGGAGTCCGGCCACTCGTAGGCGCAGGACGAACTCGCGACCCAATAGTCCAGCTTCGTAATCCAACATCAATAGATCTCCGTCGTTGTCTTCCGCATGGTAGTCCAGGATCGGTGCTCGCGCAGCTTGCGACAGTGCCGATCCAGAGTTTCCCACGTTCAACTCGGTCTGGTCTTGGTCGTCCGGCGCATCCAGTACGATCTTGAAGGGCACACCGGATGCCAACTCGCGCCACTCGATCAGCTCGAACGCGAGGAAATGCTGGACGTCCTCGACCACAGAGCGCACCAGACTCGGTGCGACTCTGGACGACTGCGACTGGAACCACATCGGGATCCGGTTGTGAAACCTGAAACCGGCAGCGAAGAGGAGAGTCTGGTTGAGCGCAACGCACTCGCGCGGCGAAAGGATGCTCGGCGGAATCACGATGTCGGAGACGTCCTGTGCCTGGCACAGCTCCAGTCGTACCGGACCAAGCTCCGCGATCCACGCAGCGTCTTGACTCGCCATGGCCATCCGGTCCGACAGGTACTTCGACGTCGCCAGCGCGGCGGTCCACCGTTCGGTGAAGGCGGGTGCCAGCTCGGGCCAGGCGTACTCCACCTTGAGCGGGACGGCAGCGCGTTCACGATGCTGCTCCCAGCGACGCACTTGTTCGGCCACGTACACCTTCGCCTGAACCTTGCTCACTTGAGCCTTGGTCTCGTCGGGTCCTCGCGAATCCGAGGGCGCCATACTGGATTGGGCTTCCATCTTGAGCGCGGGAGCTTGGGCGGTCGCGGCCGGACTTGATTGCGCGGGCACAGACCGGGTGTCGGCTTCGTCATTCCGTACGCCGTCTTCTTGGACAGTCGACAGCGGGCCTTCATGCTTGATCGTCGGGGCTTCGTCCAGAATCTCGACTTCGTCATCCGGCTGGGGAGAGTCCGAAACTCGATCCTCAGCCGGGGGCTCAACCTCATCGGCGCCTTCCACAGACGCCTGGGCGGGTTCATCATCCTGTGTGGACTCACCCTCATCCAGTCCCGTCACCGGGTCTGGGACATATTCGGTGCCGGCCGGCACAGACTCGGCCGAGTCCGCCTCCGGAGCCTCATCCTGATTTGCTTGGTGCGCATCCAGAACGGAGGACTCCGGGGCCGCTTGATCTTGATCGGCCGCCGACGCCTTCTTCTTCTCTTCCAGGGCCGCCTTGCGCTTCTTCGCGCCATCCTTCCGAGTCTCCCGGACAACGTCGTCCAGGGCCTTGTGCTCCTACGGCGGCAGCCCTTGTCCTCAACGCGACTGACGCGACGTCCGCCTCCGCGTCCATCTTCACGTGCTTCCTTCCTTCCAGCCATAACCAAACTGTTAGTCCAGGCAGTCAGTAGAAACACCCCTTAAGACCAAATCAATATACAAACAAACAACTCGCGGTGAAATCCTAGGCAACCAAATCCGGGCACGCGCACCAGCTGAGGCGAGGCGGGTGAACGCCTTGATCGTCCAGGTGTATAGCACACTATGCCGGACCGAATCGCTTCGGAGTACCAGAGATATCCGCTGCAATCCGATAGTCCTCGGAGCACAGGATGTGAACCGGGGGCCGGGAGGATCGCTTGGACTTGGCGTGTGTCCTTGTGTCAACCCCTATAGGTATCGTTTACCTTTGGCGGACCGGACTTCACCGAGTGAGTTGTTGTAAATACATAATCGAGTCTGCTGGGTGTGTTCCTGAAACAAACTACACCGAATGAACAGAAAGTCAGACCGAATCGAAGGGACCACAGTCAGATCCACAATTCAGTATAACCAACACACAGAAATACAATGCCGAGCTAAACGTCACAAAATATACAGCCACCACTTATTCTTTAAGACCCTTGGGTGGGGGGTCTATACGCCAGTCAACTTACGAGCCGTCACCCAAGGCACTGGTCAACCCTGGATGCACACTCACTTACGCGCACCACCCTCACAGAGTGAGGGAACAATACAAAATAGTAGTCAATCCAATCATACAGTAGTCAATCAATTCAGTCTCGGGGGTGACTATCTCTACCGCCTAAGACACACAGGATGGAATATGAAATGGATGCCCGGATAGAGCACGCAAATTGGAAATAAAGCTCTCACAGATCACTCCAGGGCGCGACACCCCAGTCCCTGCCGACTTTGCCTTGGTGCCTTTGAGTCCCCACTACACCAGTGCTCGCAACACCAGCGAGGCCTTGAAACGTCCTCCGTTTTAAAATCGCACGAAGGCGGATCCCACGTATAAGCTCTTGAAGACGTCAATGTCAGGGGGAATTCCCAGCCCGAAGAAAGACGTCCGCGTGTTCTCGGCAAATTGGTTTCTGTTTGATCTTACGTTTGGCTAGCTATCTGTTTCACTTCACTGACTTCTAATAAAGGTTTCACTATGCTTGACTTGTCTTGGATATGCTTCGACCTTGTGCACGGGACTTCGATCTTCTTGCACTGAGCTTGGGTATGCTTGAATTGGCTTGGTTATCGGGCACCTTGTCGACGTCAACGTTCCTTCGGCAACACTCATCATCTGGCGACAGAGGTACGTGGGTACGGCGTCTCATCAAATCCGCACTGGACCTCTGCGTCTAACCACGTGAGCCATCCTGTGTCGCTTGACGTTCTTGGTCGATCCGGTCCTGGATTGCTGCTACACACACAGCAGTACTGGACTTGTTGTTGGTGCGGTCACGATCCAGTATGTGCACCAGTGGTCAGACCGAATTGATCATCCGGTCCGGCTTCATTCGGTACGGCACCTTGGCATCCGGTGCGTCGCTACCGGGTGCACCACGATCCAGTCCGGCAAACAGTGTACTTTGTCCTGCGAGGTCTTGGGCGCATGGGAGCATGGTGGGCATGGTGAACTTGGGGGTTGGTCCGATGTCTTGACGGAGCCAATGCAGGCAGCAGCCAGGATACGTTCACTGGCTGCACTTGCGCGCCTTAGGCATATCCTGCGGTCAGGGAAGTCGGCGGACGGACAGGATGTGTTACTCCACACCGAATATGAGCGCTCATCCGGTGGGCACATCTCCGATCCTGTGAGCCCATGCTTACTGCAAGCACCGGGTCCCGCCAAATCCACCATGCGCATCCACTATCCACATGTCACACTCCACGACACTGGATTCCTGTTCACTGTGACCAGTCACAGTCAGGCGAAGGGTCTTCCCATCCCAGCGGTCAGACATGGGTGCGAATAAAAATCCTTTCCCACATCGTGTCACAATCCTTACAGCACTTTGCTGCAGCAATGATGGCGAACGAAGCCAGATCACAACATGCCCCCACCGACGCTTGCGTCGGAACACTTAGCCGCCAGCATTAGGCAAGCCTGTAGCCATACCGATCTGCTTGCAGTAGTGATAGAGGCTGCGCTTGGGTAGCGCCTTCGTGAACATGTCGGCGGGATTTTTTGTTTCATTGATTTTGCAGATCTCCAGCAGGTCTCGCTTGACGTGCTCACGAACATAGTGCCAGCGAATCTCTATGCGGCGCATCTTGCTGCTGTAGGTCGGAGCCTTGGCCAGAGCAATACCGGCATTATTGTCCACACCTAATTGCAATTGGGTTGTCACATCAACCTCCTGTAGAGCTTCCTCCAGCATGTTGACAATGCCTCGACCTTCCATCGTGGTCTCACAAGCGACGACATACTCGGCCTCCGCTGTCAACTGGGCGATAATAGACTGTCTCCAAGCTGCCCAGGCTACGGCACCACCAGCAATTGCCATCACGTATCCTGTAATGCTCTTGCGAGTCCCTGGGTCGTTGTCCCAGTCAGCATCACAGTATCCGCTGACTACGATCTAGTCAGCAATTTCATCACTCGCAGAGTACTGGATGCCCAGGTTTCTGGTTTACACGAGGTAACGCAGGATGCGTTTTACCGCTCCGCAGTGCTTCTTCGACGGATTTCTTACAAAGCGACTCAGGTAGCCGACGGAGAAAGCAATATCTGGGCGAGTACTCGTAGCGAGGTACATCAGCGCTCCACTAGCGGCGCGATAGTCAAATGACGGAGGTTCACCACCCTCGTGTTCATCTTTCGGTACGAACTTCGCGTTTGTCTCCATCGGGGTAGCCCTGCCGTGCGCCCCATCATAACCAAATCGCTCAAGCACTTCTTGACAGTACTTGGCCTGGTGGATCCACACGCCTTTTGCGCCCTGCTCCACTTGGACGCCCAGGAATTGGTGGGCTATTCCGCCGTCCATAAAACCATACTGCTCGTCGAAAGCGGCAAACAGGGACGTTTTGAAGTCCACGGAGTTCGTTGCGAGTACAACATCGTCGACGTAGAGCTGGATGAGAGCGAGAGCACCATCTCTGTAGTAGACGTACAAACACGGTTTAGTCTCAGTGTTGTGAAAGTCCATCGATCTCAGGAATTTGTCCACTTCCTCGTACCACTCGGCGCCAGACTGATGCAGTCCATATAAAGCCTGGTTCACGCGGTAGACTTTTCCTTTCGGGCAAGGAAAACCAGGAATGCCCCGCACAGACTGCTTGATCTTCAAAATGGCGTTTAGATAAGCTGTATCAATATCACCCTGGTACAAAACGAGACCCAGCTTTGCCACCAGTGCGGCTACCACTCGGAAAGTCACCATTCGTGCAACCGGTGAGAATGTCATGTCGTAGTCGATGCCAAGTTCCTGGAAGTCGCCACGGCCAACCAGACGGGATCTCCAAGTGCAAATAAATCCGTCCACACCCGTCTTAGGCCGAAATCTCCACATCGTAAAGAGCAGATGCGCCTTGCTCGGCATCTCACTTTCATCAATCATCTCGAACACGCCTTTGCTGAACATTGCGTCTACTTCGTGGTGCATCCCTGCTAGCCATTCCTCTCGCTGGGGTGAGCGCATGACTTCACCGTAATTGCGCGGCGTTTTCACGTCCTTGATGTGCCATCTTGTTTCACTTGGTGCTGAAGTGGGGCTCACTGCGGGCTCGCGCTTGCAGTAGCTCGCGTACACATGGTAATCTTCGAGTCGTTTCGGAGCTCTTCGTTCTGCTTCACTCCGGAGCGTCATCCGCCGTGGCTGTTTTTGGAGGTCTCGCTGACGCTTGGCCTGTTGCACGTCTTCCAGCTCAGCCTCGACCGCAGATCGCTGATTACCTGTGAGAGTCTCTGGCACCATACAAACGTCCATACCGTTTCCAGCGTCAACAGCGACGAGTTCTTGCCCGGCGGATTCATTTTCGACCGGAGTTGGGCCGCCGCCCTCCGCGTCTTGTTCCGACTGATTGACTTGGGGACTGCCAATCATGTAGGCATCTACGATTTCGAGTCTGTTCCAAGGAGGTTGCCGGATCCAGTCATCATCACCTGGGGCAAATTGATGATGACTTGGTTCCTCTTTCACGGATATCGACAGCTTTTGCGGGGAAGGACTTGATGGGTCGTGCTCACTTTCAGGCTCCTGTGCCGCATCAATCTCTTCCCCCCCTTCAACATTTTCAAAAGTGGCCTCGACTTGGCCTCGGCGTCGGCTGGGAGTTCCGTTCGCGGCTGCAAATTGTTCCCTTTCGACTTGAGCCAGCAAGAGAGGGTCAACAGGGGCTTTTTCTTCTAGTTCATCGCTGAGATAGATTCGCGTCATGTCTTCACTGTGTACAGCGTGCTCTTTCTCATCTGCATCGTCGGCCGTCCCGGGGACTACTTGGTCTACGCCTCGAGCAACTTATCGCACTCGGGTACGGCCTGACAAACCTGGGAAGGCTGTGTACATCGGCATGCCGCTCCAGTCTTCGATCCCTACTTTGTAATATGAGGACTCGTCCATCTCCACGTCTTGATCAATCTCGGACATCGTAGTCGAGAAGGTCTGGGTCGTTGGGGTCGCGGGCTCTGGCCGGAGGTAAGTCAGCCAATACTTCTGCTTCATCAGTCTCACTGGCAGCCCCTTCATCTGACGCCTGGTTGTCGTCGCCTACATTTTCCATGTTGAACATCCAGTCGGCTACAGAGGACGAGTATTCGTCGCTTTAGCGATCTTTGTACACGATGTATTCGTTTATAGACGAGTGCTGGACGTGTTGCACTACGTGTTCCCTGGGGAAGTACACTTCGTAGCCAGCTTGGCCCTCCAAGTAGCCCACGAGAAATCCGATACGGCAATTATGGTCGAGCTTTCGCCGCGAGGGGGTCTTTGGCTTGTGTGCATACGCGATGACGCCGAACTTCTTGGTGCGGTGAAGATCAGGTCTTTTCCCCAGCATCAAGTTGTAAGGTGTGTCCTTCAGCGCTTGATGGTACGAACGATTTCGCAAGAACGCGGCAAACTTCACTGCATTCGTCCAGAAGGTGTCCGGCAATCCCGCAGCGCTCAGCATAGACTTCATCCTGTGGCCTAGAGTCTGGGGCAGTCTTTCACAAGGATTTAGGTGCGAGCTGTGGGCAGGGTTCGGCAAATACTCGATCCCACGCTTGCGGTACCAATCAATCATCTCGTCGTTGCCAAACTTACCTCCTCCATTCGTCACTACCTTGTTCACCTTGCACCCGGGAAATTGGAGCTCTGCCCACTCAATGTATCGCTGCATCTCCGCGTTCACGTCTGGTCCGTGCTTCGACTCCAACGGGTAGACCGTCGTAAATCGCGTGTAGCCATCCTCAATGACTAGCACGACCCTGTTATCGTCTGAGCATCCGCTCTTCCTTGGGAACAACAGGTCGGGAAAAATCACTTGGTTCTTCCGAGTGATATCACGCTCGATCTTCTTTCGAGGTGATGGCTCCCGCTCCTTGCCCATGTGGCAAGCTTCGCAGTCATCAAATACCGGGCGCTGTAGCATCATTCCTGTCACCAGATCGTGATCCACCATCAGATTGACGTATTGTGGGCACAGATGCCCAAGTCTCTCGTGCCATCTCTGGAGGTCACCAGCTCCATCAGTGGCGGAGACAGTAGCTCGTGGTGGAGAGCCCGTGTCATGGGACTCTTCTGCATCAACCAGCTTTCCACCTTGCAGCCGTTGATCCACGTCTTGCGCTCGCGCGCTGCGGTTGCGACTTCATTTCTTGAGTTTGCCGCTTCGCGTCTTGACCTCCGCCGACAGGAACATGTTCTGAGCAGCAAATTTGAATAAACCGTATTTATCACGTCCAACCTCCAGTAGCTTCTCATCGCCCTTCCATAACTCGTACACGTTTGCACCGAGCCGACCATGATACTCAATTGCAAAGCCTTGTGACACCATGCGGCTCCAGATTTCTGCCCGAGCCCCACGTTGACGGCCTGGTTCTAGCTGGATCCAGGATCCAAGTGGCGGGAACAGCCTGGATATGCACTCAGCGCCCTGAATCAGGATGATCAAGATGTGTCCAGGCTGGACCAAGATCGATGACCCTGAAGGCTGCCAGCCTGGAACCCCCCCCCAGCCAAGATCGAGCCAGTCATGCCACAAGAGCCGAAGACGTGACCGACCAAGCTCGTCGATACCTAAGCTGCCTGACCAAAGCCCGTGTATCCTGAATCGACAACGTGTATCCCGAATGGACGACTCTCCAAGCTCCAAGATTTGACCATATAAACCCAAGACATTAACGACCGACCAAGCCGACCGTCCAAGATCTGCTCGGCACATGGAACCTTGAACTCCCTCCTAGCTGTGCTGTCGATCCCCGCTGGATCTTTGCGACTCAACCGACGACAACCTATACTGAAACCAAGATAAAACTCCCAAGACTGCATGTTACGATTAGTGATAGCCTACAAAGATAAGACCAAACAGAGTTCGTTTTTCCTGCTACAGCGCAAGTGTCTTCGGTTGGGGGCCAGGCTATTCAGAGCTGGTTCAGACTCAAAGGAGCCTTGTGTCTTTGGTTCTCCCCCTGCAGTCAGGGCACCTCGGCTAAGAACGTAAGGGTCGTGTGTGGAGCTCTCATAGTAAGTATCAAATCAAGTTAAGGCGAGTACCTGAGCTGTCGTGCGACCAGGGTTGATAAGCTTTATTTCATATTCTAGTTGGGGTGTTTGCCCTGGACAGCACTGCCATTTCATATTAAGCTACTCCTAGGGCGGTTGAGGTAGTCACCACCTAGTGATTTGTCGATAGGCTACTGAGTGATAGGAAGGACTGTGTTTTGTATTGATTCGGCTTTTTCCCTCTTGATTGAGGGTGGTGCGCGATTGATTGAGGGTCTTGGACTTGCCAGTGTCCTGGATCTACCCTCTTTGTTGACTGGAGTGTAGGGCCCACCGTCCAAGGGCCAACCAAAGAATAAGTGACGGTTGTGTGTATTGTATATTTGTGTATAACTCTGTATTGTTAAGGTTATCTCTCCGGATCCAGGCTGTGAAAGCTGCGTTCTGAAGTGTGCGTTGGCTCCGCTTCCTGGTCCTAGCGATACTATCCTGTTTCCCGCAACTCACGCAGTGCAAGTCTCACGTTCGAAGACAAACGACATCCAAAGGGATTCTACAAGAAACACACGTCACCCGGGACGACACCAAGTGCTCGTCCAGGGTTGTTTCGAGGGGACAAGTCTAGATCCTTTTCGGGCCACTATACACCTGGGCGGCAAAAGGCGTTCACCCGCCTCGCCTCACTTGGTCTTCGGCTTGAGAGTGCGACAGTAAGTTCTTACTGTTAGGCACGTGAAGAGCATCTTGAAGCGTGAGCACCACGTCCAAGTCACCTTTCTTCACCACCACTTGCACAGTCCCATGGCCGATCGGAGCTGCAGCGAACTTCTTCTTGAAGCCTCTCACGCACTCCGTGTCCTGGCCAAACGGCTCGTAGTCAGTAAAATATCGCCGGTCTGAAGCCATGTGCACGTTGGCCGCATTATCGAAGCACCACTCCCATACAGAATAGTCATCAGAGATGGCGTCAGCGCAGGCGTTGACGAGAAAATCCTCAGCGCACGGCTTGCCTAGGGTGTCGTCGCAAGTTGCCGTGTGATCACTTCCAGATTGCACATCATCGGCAGCCTCACTGTCACTGGACGACTGAACGTCCGGCTTAGCACGCCCCTTGCGCACCCGGTTCGTGTAGGTAGCTTGCTTCTTTCCTGTACTGCTCGCGGGCTGAATTGTCTTCTTAAGACAGTCCTTTTCCAAGTGGTCTGGTCTGTGACAGTTGTAGCAGTTGCCTTGCTGCTTGTCCAGCTTCTTCGCTGCGACGGCCACAGCTCGCTCGGGGCTCACGAACTTGGTCCCGCCATTGCCCCCAGCGTTCTTCTGCTGATGTGGCAGCTGCTGCGGCTTCTGCTTCGGAGCCTGGTGTGGGGTCTGATTCTGAGCTGCGGCTGGACCGCCTACACCCAGTTCACGATCACGGCGATTGTACCTGTCCATCCGCAGAATTTGATCTTTCAACTTGTCCAGCGTGTCAACTTCACTCGCGCCGATCTCAACCATTCCCTGCAGCTGATCAAAACGCGAGTTGGTAGGTAGTGATCTCATCAACATGTCGATGAATATAGGGTCTCTGACGCCTGCGCTCAGCGGCGCAAGCTGCGATTTCATCAAAAACATGTTGTTGATGTGTTGGCGCACATCACAGTTGGGTTTGCACCTGGTCGCCTGCAACTTGTTAAACAAGATGATCTTTTGGTTCGTGCGCGTTGCAGCGTTGGTATTGCCCTCGTACATTTGCCCCAGGTACTACCACATCTCCGATCCGGTCGGCTTGGTCATCACCTGTTGCCCCAACTCCATCGAGAAGGGCGACATGATGATCTGCTTGACCTAGCGTACTCCACTAACATGTTAGCTAATTTTACTAGGCACTAACCAACAGTTAGTTTTAAACTATACATATTAGTACTGTATAGCTGCACTATATAGTTTGAAAATATATTTATTAAGCGATTCTGCTACGAAGTCTAATCAACAGTCTAGTTTCTGCGGGTCCTCCTCTAGGGATCCTGTGTAGTGTCTCGCGAGCCTAAGTTGCTTGATTGCTTGCTTGAAAATCCGTTCTTGGAGGTAGATTGAATTCTGTATTGGATGGAACCACTGCAGCTGACTCCGCGGTGGTTTCTGTTAGTTTCTCTTTGCTAGTATGCCTCCTGAGTATGCAGTATACAAATGCTGAGAGTGCACCACGCTCTCATGCTTGCTCTTGCCGTAGGTAACGACTCTGCGAAGTGACTGCTGGAACTAGCCTGTCCCAGGCGCCTACTACATCCTGATATAATTAGGCCAAACACCATTTGCTTCCTCACTTTCAAATTCCGCTATCAGCTGCGCTGGCAAGTGGTGAGGCGGCTCCCGTGTGAGCTCCTCCCAACCTACCCATTTTACTAGGTAGATTGGGTGGTAATTCACGGTTCGGCGGGCGTAAATCCGTTCTGCATGATAAATCCCCGGTCCTTCAGGCGGGATTTCGGGGTCAGAGTCGTCTTCGCTTGACGTTGCATCTGATAGGTCTACATAGTCACTAACTAGGCCAATAGGAAATTGCAACGGGCTCTCAGGGGGGGGCAGCCATCGATGGTGAGTCGGGCGATACATCATTGTCGAAATCGGTATTCAACTGAGAGGGAGTTGACGGAGTTGATGGTGGGGTGGGTCGAGGGGAAGTCGACGGTGGGGTGGGGTGAGGGGGGGGGGGGGGTGACCACCGTGGGGGGGGGGGGGGTTCAGGTGACGACGATGGGGTGGGTGGAAGTGGCGTCGTAAGAGGCGTTTGACTGCGCTCCCACCTTCCGTTGCGCGCGTGTCGTGGCCGTAGCTCACAAGCGTTTATATAAATACAGCTTTTCTCCTCCACCAACATTTACTCACGTTGACCTATCTTTGTGCTCTAACGCTACTACTTAGTAACATGTTAGCTCAAAATACTAGACACTAACTAACAGTTAGCTAACATGAATAGCAACTAACATGTTAGCGTTAGGGAGTACACTAGCTTGACCATGACCTGGGACTCGCCGAACGTCTTCTTCTCGTCGTCGCTCGCGGTCGTCGCCAGCGTCTTCTTGCCGGTCGCGTACTCCATGACTCCCTTGTCCTCGGGCGCGATCATCATCATACTCTTGTAGTACGCCCAGCACTGACCGTGCCAGTTCACTGGGCGCCCATTCTTGTTCAGCTCGGCTCTCGTCGACATCTTCTTCACTAGGTCTCCCAGTTTCGAAGTCTCGAACTCACAGACGCAGCACTTGCTCTCCAGTGTCCCGCTGGTCTCTGAGTGATGCCACCAGACACGCGTGTAGCCCGGATGGGTCTTGGGCTCTATAACCCTGTTCCGTTGACGCTCTGCTTGGCGTCCAACGGTCCAGCACCTTGAGCAAGACGAAACTAAGGATAGCCAGTCGCCGGTTAACACCCAACTACTACTCCTATATTCGCTTAGCCTTCTCACTGTCGGTGCTCTCTCCGAGCTGTCCTGCTAATCTCAGACCGAGCTGCAAATTATACACGCAATATGAGTTGGCAGCAACTGCAAGTTCTGCCAACTCCAGCTTCAACACCTGTCTACTGCTACGCAGCATCCCACATTACTTGTCGCTCCAACTGCGGCAACTTCAATCCTTACAGCACTTTGCTGCAGCAATAACGGCGAACGAAGCCAGATCACAGCAGGCTCTCGATGAGATTTTTTTTTTTAGCAAATCAGCAGTACGGCGTCATCGATGTCCAGATTGACAAAATCGACTTCAAGCTCGATCGCAATGTTGGAATCAAGTTCGATGGCAGTCGACACACTATCAAGCAGTGCTCGCCGCATTTGACTTGATGGAGATATGACCATCATGGAGCTCACGGATTCAAGCATGAATGCTTAATTCGTTGGCGCAAAGGGATCTGTAGTTCTCATTTCTTTCTCTTTTTCTAGCAGCCAATAGATGTTTTTGATCTCGATGTAATGTTATTCTCATGCTAAGTCTAATAAAAAATGGCGTCGTAATATGCGCGAGTCGAGCTGAGTCAAATTCGAGGTGAAGACTGTATGAGGTTCGATCTGATAGCTTAAAGCTCTTTAAGCGACATGAGACTGTCTAGAAGTGCTGTCGATGTATTTGCTAGTTCGCTGTGAGTGTGTTCTAGAACGGTTCTAGTTGATAAATTGCGGTAAGGAAAAAAATGCCTTCGTAATGTGCTGCTATTGATACTTACTACTCAGATCGCATGCGGGCTTCATTTTGTTGCATTGGGCACACACGTCGCTCTCCTGTATGGAGTGTGGTTGTTTGATATAGAATCTAGAATCCACAAAAATAAGAAGTGCGTAAAAAGCTGATCTGTATCCGGTGAGATTGTATATAAGTGATAGAGTCCCGGCTGCTGAGAGGCTTCAGTTAATGAGAACCAGCTCATCCGGTTGTTCCAGACAGCCTATAAACTTCTAGTCCTTCTCGTCGGCTCTACGATTTGTCCGAGCTCCAGGTAAGCGGTTTTTATAACGGTTTTGCTATTGTTATATCTTGCGCTTTGCATCCAGTTTGCCCTCCTAATTAATGCACTAGTTAGTGTTCGTACTTAGTGGTAAATCATGGAGGGTATGAATGCAAGTTGCTCAAGTGGTGCTTCGAGCCCGATTTGGCTCGGAAATGGCACTTTCTAAAGGTGCCAAACGGATGCTAATCCATGCTGGATGTGCTGAATCATGCAGGAGATGGCGTTTGCGCACTACTTAGTGCTCATTGACCATCCACGACTTACAGCAATTCGTACTCGAGTACGATTTATAGATAAGTCGTGCTCGATAAGTCGTACGAGTTACAGTCCGAAGCGCCAAAAAGTATGCAAAGCACAATAAATCCAGCTGCGATAAATCGCTACCACAATATTTAAGATGGGAATGAAATGTTATGAAAAGTGCCGCAAATTTTTGCAGATCAAAATTGGCGCGCCCGGCTCGTTCGGTTGCTGCGTTCCGCGCACCGGAAAGCACCGCGTCCAGTCGTCCGCGCATGAACTTGTACCGCTGCAATGCGAAAGATCGACGCGATCGGTTGAGGTGTTTGTTTACCTCCAACACGCTGTGGCCTCGCGCTGCGGTGGCCGACCGACGCAGCGAGGGCCGTTGACACCAGTAGAAAATGTCGGGCCATGCCAGTGCTTGTAAAGAAACGGCGGGCGAATAGGGCGGCCCCGCTTCGTCACAGCGCGTGCGTGACACGCCCCATGTGCGCGCGCCGCCGCCGCCAAGGAAGGGCCAGGCTCCAGTCGATCCGCGCCACCCCCTTCATGAGACCCCAAGCAGCTCCGAGGACTCTCGCCTCACGAGTCATTCCTCAATTCTCCGTCGAAGCCGCCGTGGGGACACTCAGTGCACTCAGCTCCGAGCCAAGCCAAGCCCAAGATGGAGCGCGAGCCCACGTTCATGGAGAACGTGCTGCGCACCAAGCCGCTGAGCGTCATCCACGCGGAGGAGACGGCCGAGCAGCTCCCGCGCCACCTCGGCCTCTTCGACCTTCTGTGCATCGGTGTGGGAAGCACGGTGGGCAGCGGTATCTTCTCCACGGCAGGCGAGATCATCAGCAGCACGGCGGGCCCGGCGGCGTTCATCAGCTGGATCATCGCCGGAGTCGTGTGCTGCATCAACGCGCTCGCGTTCATGGAGCTGGTGACGCGGATCCCGTCGTCCGGAAGCACCTACGCCTACTCGTTCCACGCGCTCGGTGAGCTGCCGGCTGTGATCGCGGCGTGGCTGCTGACGCTCGAGTACGGTATCTCTGGATCCGGTGTGGCTCGCAGCTGGGCCACCAAGGTGCAGGAGTGGCTCGTGGAGGAGCACCCGGAGCACACGTACCAGTGGCTCAACGAGGACTACACGAACCTGCTCGGTGCCGTGCTGATGGCTGCCTGTGTGGGAGTTCTCCTCGTGGGGCTGCGCTTCGGCAAGTGGTTCGTTAACACCATCACGACCATCAAGGTGGTCGTCGTGCTCTTCATCATTGCTGCTGGCTTCTACTTCACGGACTCGAGCAACTTGTCCCCGTTCGTGCCGCCGCGCCAGGACGTGGATGGCACGATGGCGTTCGGCGTGCAGGGAATCATCACGGGCGCGTCGTCCGCTTTCTTCGGATATGCCGGCTTCGATGAAGTGTGTTGTCTGGCTGCTGAGGCCAGGAACCCGAAGAAGATTATGCCGCTCGCTGTCATCGGCGTGGTCACCGGCACCATGTTCTTGTCGGCCTTTGCGTCGTTGGCGCTGTCAGGCATGATCCCGTACCTGGAAGCCGCTAGCTTCGGGTCTGGCTTTGACTACCAGGGCCAGAACTGGGCTGCGCAGATCGTGCGTGCCGGTGAGACCTGCACGATGCCCGTTGTGGTGCTCGTGTGCTTCCTCGCGCAGCCGCGTCTTAACTACGCGCTGTCGTGCGATGGTTTGATGCCTCGCATCTTCTCTAAGGTCGATGAACACGGCAACCTGTTCGCCAACACGCTCATCTCGGGCGCGTTCTTCACGGCGGTGGCCTTCGTTGTGCCGTTCGACACACTCTGGGATATCGTGAGCTTCGGAATGCTGCTCTCGTTCAACATGTCGATGGCTTCGCTGCTCATGGTGCGTATGCGCGAGGAATCTCCCAAGCTGGCGCCCAGGCTCATCGGTGTCATGGTGGGCTCAGCATGCTTAGCTGCCTTCCTGTACCAGATCGGCTACTCGAACGAGGGTCACACTTGGTGTCTCGTTCTGAGCATCATCTTCCTGGTGTTTTCGATCGCCTCGTGCTTCGTGATGCACTTTAAGTGCCCGCAGGTTGTGCAGAATGGCGACAATTTCACAGCACCATTTGTGCCGTTCCTCCCCACCGTTGCGGTGCTAGCTAACTTCTATCTGGCCGCTCAACTCAGCTACACAGGCATCTACACAAGCTTCGGGTGGCTGGGCGCTAGTGTTATCTTCTACTTCTGTTACGGCTATAAGCACTCCGCTGGTCGGACCGGCTGGAGTGCGCTCATGAGCCTGCCGCTCGAGTCTTCACTGCGTTCGCCCATGATCTCGCCCGACAAGAAGCAGCTCCAGGACTAGACCTTTAAAGCATACCGATACACGCACCAGTTACGCACGCTAACGTTTGACGTCGTTCGTCTGGGCCGTGTCGAAGCATTTTACCACCAACTTTCCACCACCCTTGCCTTGTTCTTTGAGAAAGGACAAACGGTCCTTGTGGCGCGAGACCCCCCTTGTTGCCCTCAATAATGCGTGCGTGTCTCCCAGTGATCTTCGGCACCCCTGTCAATTAAGAAGCACGAGCGGAAGCAGGTAGAAGTAGCGCTGGCGCGCGAAGGCGGAGACCTTCAAGCAGACAATGCCCACCTCTTTCAATGACCCAGCAGGAAAATGCAGCGTTGCGCGCCAAGTCCACGACGTCACGGAGCTGCTTGCGGCGTTCAATCTCTCGGTGCTGCACGACGCGCGCTTGGAAGCTGTACGAGACCGTGCCTTCCAACGGTGACGCCGCGCCTGAACGACAACTACTGCAGGTCTACCACATGGAGCTTCAACTGGGGCTGCAAGCTCTTGATGAATTGCTGGACGGCAAAGCGACCGAGTAGGTCAGCGTAGTGGGCAGATGCGGAAAGGCTGGTGGAGCTCCCAGGCGTCTTGAGTGCAGATCGAGTATCGAGGTCCAAGTCAGCGCTCTACAACAGCGCGTTAAAATGCTGGAGCGGGAGGGGGGGGGGGGGGAGGGAGAACGCGCTGGCAGCGGAGTCGGCCAAGAACGCGGTTCTGCAGCACCAACTTCTCCACTTCCACCAAATGGCACGCACTCTGCTAGAATTCGACGCAGCTAGCGGAAGTGGTAGAGCTCTCGCTGCATGTACCAGGTAGTTGACCACCATCCACGCATAATGCAACCGAAAGAATGGTCACCCCGAGCAAGCTGTTGCACTGTCAGGCTGAGAGGCTCGCTCTGTGAACGAGATCCGGAACCGATCAAGGATGCGACACCGGCACCGCCCAAACGCACAACTCTTCCAATCGGCCAAACGGATGAGCGGTGCACAGATGCGGCAGCAACATGAAGCAGGGCCACGGAATCCTAGCTACATACGTATGAAGAACTTGGCAGCATTTTTCGAGCTGCATTTTGCCTCGAGAACGAAGGGGAAACATCGGTCGTACTTGCTGGGGTTTAGCAGCAAAAGGCATGAAGCACATAATGGCAATCTTCTAGCAGTGACTATACTCCAAGGATGGAGTTCGGCTACCATTCGATGTGGTTGAAAAGTTTCGCTTTGAATCTTGGCTATCGGTAGGATCTCCTTGTTCGTCTACGGAGGCGTTCGTCTACAGATCGTAGCTATGACTGCACAGCTGAGCATCTCCATTATGAAATCGCTCTGCTATCGACATGGGCAAAGCCTGCCGCATATTCACACAGAGTAAGGCGCACAATGGAAGCGGAAATCGATCACCTTGTGTGATAAGTCCTCAAGATGCTCCATCACGAGAGCTCATTTTGAGTGACTCACCACTGCCGAGTCTCAAGCGAGCATCTCCATCGGCGCATCCCGCCAAATTACCACTCGAAAGTCCTTTTCCGGTGCATTGCCAGCCACCGTCCCGCATCACCACTACATGGTGCATGTACGAAATCCCCATAATGCTATGAACCTATTGAACTGGTGCGCGCTTTATTCATTAGCGGCGTTGCTCTGGGGAGTTGGAGAGCGAGCCGGAGACAGCGTTGTTATCGCGACTACAGCAAATGCGCGGCGGCACGTGACGCGGGGAGCCGCAGCTCATCGGCTCACCCGCTCTCTGCATTTTCTCTTGGCGAGCAGCTTGCGACCAAAGAAACGACTTGTCCACATCGGGAGCCAATCGGTGCAACAATGCTCCGCGCGACTGGCCCGACTTTGAAGGGCAACCTTCATGCTCAACATGGGGCGTCTCACCCTTCATCACGGCTCGCGGTCTCGCTCTGTAAAGACAAGTGTATTGCTTGATCGTGCACTCACGATCTGTTGTCAAAAAGACGGACCAAGGTCCGTTGGGACTGGTGCGTCGCGGTCGACGGCGTCCGTCAGCTCTCCTGTCATTCTTCATTTTGCCTCGGAGGCGCCGTGCCTGCCGCCTCGCCACCACCAGAACAAGCCACGCAGCAGCTCTCTCGGTGCCCCCAAATCGGCCTGTTCAAGTTCTACAGTATTCACCATGGAGCACCAACCGACGTTCATGGAGAACTTGCTCCGCACGAAGCCGCTGCGTGTCATCAAAGCTGAGGAAGCGGCCGAGGAACTCCCCCGCCAAATGGGACTTTTCGACCTGCTTTGCATCGGTATCTCCGCGTCTGTGGGCAGCGGCATCTTCTCCACGACTGGCGAGATCATCTCGGGCACCGCGGGGCCTGCGGCGTTCGTCAGTTGGCTCATTGCTGGTGTCGTGTGCAGCATCAACGCTCTCGCGTACATGGAGATGGTGACTCAAGTGCCGTCGTCGGGCAGTACCTACGCCTACTCGTTCTACGCCCTCGGAGAGCTGCCGGCCGTGATCGCAGCGTGGCTGGTCTCACTTGAGTACGGTGTGTCGGGTTCCGGTGTCGCTCGCAGTTGGGCTACCAAGGTGCAAGAGTGGCTGGAAGAGGAACACCCGACGCACTCGTACCAGTGGCTGAACGAAGACTACACCAACCTGCTGGGCGCAGTTCTCATGGCGCTGTGCGTGGCGGTGCTTCTTATGGGCATTCGCTTTAGCAAATGGTTCATCAACGTGTTTACGACCATCAAGGTGTTCGTGGTGCTCTTCATCATCGTCGCGGGTTTCGTGTACATCGACGCTGACAACCTCTCGCCCTTCGTGCCTGAGCGCCAGAGCATCGACGGATCCATGGCATTCGGCGTGCAGGGAATCATCACGGGAGCGTCGTCCGCCTTCTTCGGATACGTTGGTTTCGATGAGGTTTGCTGTCTGGCCGCCGAGGCCAAGAACCCCAAGAAGATCATGCCACTCGCTGTCATCGGAACCGTGTTTGGCATCATGTTCCTTTCGTCGTTTGCATCGCTCGCGCTGTCGGGTCTGGTCCCGTACCGCCAAGCCGAGAGCTTTGGCGCTGGTTTCGACTACGCGGGCCAAAATTGGGCGGCGCAGATCGTCCGTGCTGGTGAGACGTGTACCATGCCGCTGGTGGTGCTGGTGAGCTTCCTGGCGCAGCCGCGTTTGAACTACGCGCTCTCGTGCGACGGCCTGATGCCCCGTATCTTCGCCAAGGTCGACGAGAAGGGCAACCTGTTCGAGAACACCCTTATCACGGGCGTCGTGTTCACGGTCGTCGCGTTCCTCGTGCCGTTCGACACGCTTTGGGATGTCGTGAGCTTCGGCATCCTGCTGTCGTTCAACATGACCAACTCGTCGCTGCTCATGGTCCGCATGCGTCGCCAGTCGCCCACCCTGGCGCCCAAGCTCATCGGTGGTATGGTTGGATCCGCGTGGCTGGCTGCCTTCTTCTACCAGATCGGCTACTCGAACGAGGGTCACGTTTGGTGCCTCGTTCTGGGCATTATCTTCCTCGTAGCCACGGTGGTTGTGACTATTGTCATGTACTTCAAGTGCCCTCAGGACCACCCGGGCGCCGACAGCTTTTCCTCGCCGCTTGTGCCGTTCATCCCCATGATTTCGGTGCTCGCCAACTTCTACTTGGCCGCGCAGATTAACTACACCGGCATCTACGCGAGTATTGCGTGGTTAGCGGCCAGCGTCATCTTCTACTTTAGCTATGGCTACAAGCACTCCGCCGGTCGCACTGGATGGAGCTCGTTGCTGAGTCTTCCCCGCGAGTCCTCGCTGCGTTCGCCCATGATCTCGGCCGCTACCGACAAGAAGCAGCTCCAGGAGTAGAACAGTAGAAAAAAGTTTGTTAATCGTACAAGTATACACACATCAGTAGAACTTCTGCACTTTTGCCCCCGATGATGAAGTATCCCTGAAGGGAAACGGGGCGTCTCTATTTACGTTAAACTAGAAACTACTGTATAGAGAGTCCTGGGTCCTGGAATCGCTGTAGGGTGTTCCGAATCGAATAATGGTCTTGTAACCCCTTTTCGCTACTGCTAGTCTTCATTTCGTTCTCCAAACCTGCGGCAAAGAGTTGCGGAATATGTGCACTGCGTCGGAGTGCCCTGCCAATTGGCGTGATTTTACCAAGTCTTTTACGGCTTTTCATGGCTCCTTCGCAAGCATTCCAGTACATGTACCCGAAACTGGCGAGTATTGTGAGTACTCGGGAAGGCGCCTTGGAGTGAAGTCGAACTGTCGATAATAATGTGCGTTGTGTCAACTGATTCATCGCCTGTTCTAGAGGTTTAGAGATGCTGCCGGCTCCATCTTGTGCTTCATCCACTCGTACCTGAACAAGACTACTATTTGGTGGGCTACCCAACAAAATCCACCCTCTTGCCGTTCGCAAAGATTCCAGTCAGCAATACTTGTAGCTTCAGCGAGAAAAACTGCTGATACGGATGGTGCCGTACGAGAAGCTATATGCGGTAAGTAGTGCAGTACGCTCTTCACGATGAAGATGCGGAAGCCAACCTTCCCGTACTTATTTCGCCCGCGAGCAGTCCCACAATGTGCTCGATAGTATCTGGCTGATGCTGGCACTTCCCGGAATGAAAACCGAGTGACTATTACTGCAACAAACCACGCAAAAGTAGCAACGAGGAAATGCGTGGCATTGTGTTTATTCGGGCTCAGTTGTCGAAGTCTGCAATGCCATTTGAGCTTGTGCAGCCTCCGCCGCTGTGCGGAGCTCAGCGTAAAGATCCATATTGGCCTCGTGACAGGGTTTCAGCAGTTCAAGTACGCGCTCCACAAGCTTTTGCGTGACAACTGGGGGTACGTCGGGCGATGCCGAGACGTGACGGTGGAGAACGCTCATCAAGGTGACGCAGTTGGCGACAAGTTGCATCGTCTCGGGCAGCACTCTTCCTAGGTGAATGTCGTTAGCTGGAGCGTTTAAGCTCGACAGTGCTTTGTCTTCGTTGACGACTTGCAATGCTGACTCAGCGACCACGCTAGTGGCTTTCTGCTGACTCGCAGTCAAGAAATCGATCGCCCAGCGCATTTGATCCTCTGTCAGCGTCGCGGTTGGCGCCACGTTAGAATTGCCACTCCAACCCTGCCCATCTGAAGAAAACGCTGGCCCCATCAGAGAACTTCTACCATCGACCGGCTCGTTCGAGGAGAAAGACTGGAGGCTTAATAGCGCAGCCTTCAGGTGTGCATTCGTGGCATCCAGATTTGCAGTGAGCCACGAGTGCTGTTTCTGCAGCTGATCCTTATCACGTGAGTTGGCCCATGCGAGATCCTTCACGGCTGCAGACGAAAATGCCGTAGGAGTTGTCCACAGACTCGACTTCATGGCGTTCTTCTCGTGCAGCTGCGTCTGCTGTTTGGCGACACGTCCGTTCAAGGCAGCCATTGCTGCGATAATCTTCTCCTTGCGATGCAGTAGAGTTTTTACGGCGAGGACAACATGGATTTTCTCTTCGCGGAACCGATCACCAACTGAGCCAGTCGCTTTTGGTGCAGCAAGCGGTGGGCCAATCCCACGAGGCACACTCTCACGTCGAAGCAGAGTCGTTGCAGCTAGTTTCGGTTCTGGACTGCTAGTTTCATTGTTTCGTGCCCACGGGGGAAAGTCCAATACCATTACGTTGTCCAAGCTGCACGTGACTGCTTCCAGTCGTGAAATGTTACCACAGTAAAACACTTGACAGGTGTCTTCAGTCGCGTGAAAAGCAGCCACAGTAGCCAGCCGAAAGCGTCGTTCAACCTCCACCCAGACTGTCACAATGGCAAATGCACACACTTAGCACCATATAGGACCAGTAATATGTAAGACACAAAGAGCTCACCGATCACTGCAACTCCAGCTCGTAGCGGAATTGCGCACCGATACGGCCACGTTCTATCAGATGGCTTCAGCCACACGAGCACCGTTAGTACTCGACCCGCCAAGTCTACCATCGGCAGCTCGCCTTACCAATTGCGCAGGGTCCAGTCGACGTTTAACCGCTCGGTAAGACTCAAGCTTCTCTTTCTCCTGGGCGAAAAACAAGCGGCTAAGACGCCTCGGTCGCCCCATAGAAGCTCGCACCGACGACCAAATCGGTCTCGCCGCCGTTGTAATCTAAGCGTCGCACAGACCAAGTAAGCACGTCAACCACAAACGAATATACGCTTGTTCCGTTCATCCCGTACCTTTCCGAGCCCCATGCCACTCAGACACTCGATGAACTCGTTATGTCTAAAGAAGTCCACGTCCACGTACGAGTAGAACCAGTGGGTCCAGGGCAGGTCAAACCTCGCGCCCTGCACCTTTCCAAGCCCCGAGTCGTCCCCCAGTTCTCGAGGCAGCCACACCCTCGATCGCGTGGGCATGGGGTTCTTCCTGCCCCTCTGTTTCGTAGTGTCCCCCGCCGTCCTCTGATCCTCCACCTGCACGTCTCCTTCAGCTCTAATCCTCAGCGTCGCCAATTGGTCCGTGGCCAGAAGTTTATCGAGCCGCCGCTTCTTCCTGCTCCTGGCCGCCGGCTCGTCCTGCTGCTCCTGTTGCTCCTGTTGCTCCTGCTTGACGTCCGCCATCTCGACGTCTCCGTCTGCGTCCTGGCCTTTTAGACCCTGTGGCGGTCTCTGATTGGCCGAATCTCTCTGCTGCTGCAGCTCGTCCTGCATTTCGTAGTGGTCCATCATAATGGCGCAGAAGCCCTCGACCGACGCCTCGGGCAGCGACAAATAGCCGCGGTGCATCTCGAACAGCGCGCGCACCATGGCCCCCGAGCGCAGCGGCAGGCGCTCCTCCAGCTTCTCCCACTGCCTCCCGTGCGCCTTGAGCAGGATGTAGAACGTGCGCAGCTCCTTGAGCGACCAGCGAGGCCCCAGGACGCGCTCCGACTGCAGCATTCTGGCAGTCCGAGCTTACCCGTGGAATTGAAATGAAGTATTTTTTTTTAGCCAATCAGAGGGTAGTTGATAGTTGAGAGGATCGGGTTGCGAGATGAGGGGGCTCCATGTTGAAGTCGGTGTTTTCCGGATCATTCGTCGTCTTACAGCTAATTTGCTGCGACGACTGCAAATTGCTTGTACTGTTTCCGGTGCTGCTGTCAGTAGCGAAGGCGCAATGGATTTTACAGAAAATTGTATTTCAGTTAACGCACATTCATCAGCTTGGGTCTCTCTCTCTCTCTCTCTCTCTCTCTCTCTCTCTCTCTCTCTCTCTCTCTCTCAATATTGCGCCTTTCCCAATCTTTGGCCAATCTGATCTCAAAAAGGTGGTCTTAAGTAGGAGAGGGTCTAAGATCGACTGATAGCCTAGGATCGGATTACGGAAGTCCTACGTAGGAGCTTCGTCTTCATTTAAAGGGTATTGCCCATTTCAGTTGGTGTGTCTTCCTAATTAGACATCTTAATCCGAGATAAAAACGGTACCGTTTCTGCTAATTGCAGCTAGCTTACCTAAGCTGGCACAATGCAGTGGCACAGCACTCAGAGCATCCTGCATCACATTGTAGGAACACTCGCATGAAAGCCAAGTGCAGGAACGACACCGACACCATCAACTGCCACTATGACGGCCATATAGTGTGTAGTTTAAGCTACAGTGCCAGCGCCGTGGCCTTAAGGCGGGTCTCGGTCTTAATCTGACCTTGGCCCTTAGTCAGAGGTCTGGGTCCGTAGGCGAAGTATTAGCGCCAAATTCAATCACATGCGCAATGCTAATAGCTCATAGCTCTCCGAATCTTCAAGAAAACGGCGGCAAACTGACTTCTGTAGCATCCTAATCACAGGTAGCTGCTGGTTCGCAAATCTGACCTTCTATTTCCTCAAGCATAGGTTTAACCTACACCTACTATAATCAAGCCCTCTTAGCCTGAGAGTAAGACCCCGATTAGGGCAATCGCGCTGAAACGGAAATATCCTATTGGAAATAAGGACCGAATGGCCAGGTTAAGCTGGCGACACTTCTCCTTTCCTATCGACTCTTGGCCTTGCCGGGGTAAACGCACACCACTACGCTAGTAGACACGTCCACCGACATACACCTCCCTCCTTACAAGATTACCGTGGGCGCGGGTCATCCACCGTGCGCTGCGAGGTCCTTGACACTTGAGAGGAAAAGCTGATCTTGTGTTGTTGCCCAAAGAGCTTATCTGTTCTATCTTGTCTTTCTTATGGTTCAATACAGTTGTCTAGTCTAAACCTGTCCGTTTCGGATCTCCCAGCAGTAACAGTCGCCACTTGAGAAGCTGCCGAAGACTCGAGGGGACACCTTAGGTCTGCGAACCTAAGATAAGTACGACTTAGGTGCGAAACCCCAGTGACTCGTCGACGTCACAATCAAGTACCGGACTGTGGTGTGCGCCACACCTTCAACTCGGGATGCAGCCATTCGCGACGGTGCTGTGACATTCACTCATGGTCACCAATGTCGAACTAGCGTCAATATGACAAAACGTTACGGACCAAGTCCCCAATCCTTGCCGGGACCGTTTCATCTTCGGCAGTGACGCATATTCCGGCAAGCTCCTACTCAAACTACCACCGCGTAGAAAGGCTCCGTCCGATTCCCACCTCGGCACACCCACCAGACACCCACCACCAGGCTCCCGCCGTCCGTAGCTACGGCAAAAAGGGCTCGTTGGCGCCAAATGAAGGTGCCAACCGTATCGCCATGTCGAGACGCATCCAACGAGCCACTCCACACTGCCTACCACCGCGTAGAAAGGCTCCGTCCCGATTCGCACCTTGGCACACCCACCAGTGTGGTTTAGGAGACACCAGATTTCGCGCGACCAACTCGGCTGGAGTGGTACACTGTACCGCTAGCCGAGCTCAGCCGAGCTCAGCCGAGTTCACCGGCATATCCGGACCAGCCGAGCTCAAGCGTCGCCGAGCTCCAAAAACCGCCCACTTTCATTTGGTATTTGTATAGGAGCTTAGGAATAGTGGAGGCGCCCCTTCAGGGCGCCCGACAGAGATAACAAACAACAGAGCAGAATTTTCTAGGTCCACAACACATGTACACGTTCCGGTAAGTCCCTGCACGGGGTCGGATTATGTCTGCTGCCGGTACCCGAGAGGCATAGGTTGTAGGGTACTCGGCTGGCAGCACCAAGAGATTAAGGTCGGCCCGGGTTGGGCTCGTGTCTCGCAAAGCGCGAAGGAAAAGTCTCGCCACCGCTGCGAGCCGGTGTTCCCGTACGTCCCGGGCACTGATTGCTGAGTCGAGAAGCCTTTGCTCTCGACGATCTGTTAAAGCACTCCCTGCGCCATCGTCCATCCTTTGGTGGAGGGCACAGGGTTGAGTGAACGGAGGCCGTCGAACTCGGCGGTCTCCAAAATAATATATTTATAAAAATATATTTTTTTAAAAATTTTTTTATAAATATATTATTTTATTATTATTTAGTAATAAAATTATTAGTAAAATCAACTGCTAAAGTATTTATTTTTTTATCTAATTCTTTAGAAATTTCTTTTTTAGTTAAAATTTCTTCTAAAATATCTGAATGATTATTTTTAATAAAATTTAACCAATTAGTTTCAAAAATTGAAATTTTATCTACAGCAATTTTATCTGAGGAGTGATCTTGGTTGGCAGGTCTCGGCGAGAGGCGAGACACCCGCTGTCCCGGTTGGGCCGAACCGCTCGGGGACAACCCGGCGCAGGCCAACAAAGCCGACCAGCTCGGCTATTGTTGTGTTTGTAGCCAAGTTACCACAACTGACGATTTTGTGTGTACTGCTATACCACAACTGGCGCCGCGACCCGGGAACAGGGGTGTGCTTGTGTTTCGTAGGTACCAGCTAACCAAGGTTTGAGAAGAAGAGAAGAGAAGAGAGTGTGAAGATGGTCAAGGGAATTGTTACGCCGAGTCCAGCGACGGTTGGAAGTAACTCGGTTGGACTGACCAACTCGGCGGACTCGGCGAATGCGATGATCACGGACGCGACGGCGGACGAGGCGCGTACCGTCCAGTTCGATGAGGAGGATGCCCAAGACCAAGGAAGTGAGGAAGATGTTGAGGATGAGTATGAGGAGAAAGCCGAGCTACTCGGCAAAGTCGACGAGTTGTCGCTGTGTGGTGTAGCAGACGTGCCAAAACTCGTTAGCTTCCCACTCCCACACCAACAACACCTACACTAACTGGAGCGCAGGCTTGTCGGGTGATCCGAAGATCGCCCAGTCCGTTTACAGCGGTGCAGTGGTTACCCAGGCACCTGCCAAGTCGTCCCAGGAGCCGTGCCACGAGCACAGAGCACGCTCCCCTTCCTTCGCCGACCTCTCCTTGTCGCTTCTACTCCTTCTCCTTCTCCTTCTCTCCTTGACCCGTGCCCTCCACCAAAGGATGGACGGCGGCTCTCGCCTTTTACGGGGCGCCGATGCAAAACCGCACCGGCTGAGTCGGGGGCGGGCCGAAAATCCGCGCTCGTACGCTCGACGAGCTCTTCGCCAGGGGCGGAATCCAGATAACCACTACACGCACTCGCTCTTGGACTCGCCGGGCACTTCCGTCACTTCGGATAGCCGATCTCAGCGGTGGTCATGATCTAGCCCCACGGGGGCGGTCGTACCTTGAAGAGACGCCGCGTGCCGCTTGTTTAGGACCTCGAAAATTCCACTCTGTATTTATCTTTGCTTTGTCGGGCTCAAAGGCCCTTCCCTGGGGTTCCTATACAAATGTCTAATGAAAATGGGCTGTTACGGCCCCTCCATACTAAAACCAAGTCAACTTGCTCGCCGACTCCTCGCTCGACGACCCTTGAGATCTTTTGGGATTCCGCGTCGGCGAAACTCCTCCAGTCGGTGTCTGGTGTACACACTCGGTCCGGACTGACTGCAACCACCGACCTGCGGACTCAGAAATCGCTATACCACAGCTGCAAGTCGGGCAGATGGGTACCCCACGTCCAGTTGTGCGCAACCTGGCGGCCGAGCTCGGCAATGATACGGACGACGAAGATCAAGCCGCCGCTCAAGGGGAACGTCCGCCCCTGATCCCGCGAGCGACGAGGAATGCGGATACGCCAAGTGCGAACAAGGTTCTGGACAGGCTCGGAGAGGAGATGCGAGCTCAGAGCGAGTGGAAGATGATGTTTGCCCCGGTGGCGATGGCTCAGGCGAGATGGCCGGTGCTGAGGCCCGAGCTGACTCAGCCAGTGAACAGCACCGACATCAACCAACTGGTCGAAGACACGGTGCTGCTACTCAAGGCGATGGGGTTCCGGTGCACGAGCCGACCCAACAGCCTGTTACTCGGCGATTGGGACCCCAGCCGGGCTTCATGCGAAATCCTCAAGTGGAAGCGCCGGTTGAGAGTCGCGTTTGGCCTCGAGCGGGGGGCCGTCGGAACTCGGCAGACTAGTGCAAAACGAGTGGCTGATACTCCGAAGACTGTCGAAGACCCAAGCAGGATTCCCCTACCGAAGACTCCCGAACGCAAGAGAGCCGAGGTGTTCCGCTCGACTGAGGGTACACCGTATTTCGAAGATTCGCATATGAAGACGCCAACGCGTGGCAAGCAGCCAAGTGGACGCTACGCTGAGTTGTTTGACGCTGCAGACGCAGCCGAGCTCAGCGACAGCGACGACGGACGCGAGTATCAGAACTCGGCTGACGAGTCGGTGAAGGACGTCATCAAGCACCTTAGCTTCGATGACACTGAAAGCGATCGGACGCAGTACTTGGAAGTTCGCACCCATGCGTCCCTCGACAAGATCCCAATGTTCGAAGGCAAACGTTACCGACCGGATGACTCTCTCCAGTGGCTGAAGCGATTCATCTACGAGATGAAAGGAACTCGGCTGGCGCAAGACCTCTGGTACGAGCCATTCTCGCTGAAGCTGGAGCGAGGCGCGAAGAGCTGGTATCGCCAACTCTCGAAGAAGACGCAATGGAAGTGGAGTCTGCTGAGTGAGGCATTCGCCGACTACTACTGTTCGCAGTTTGACCAGTCGGCACGAGCTCGCTATTACTCGGCTCAGCGCAAGGACAACGAGATGGTGTGTGACTTCCTCATTCATCTTAACGGATATGCGAAGTCGGCGAAAATCCAGTACGAAGCCGGTGGAGCGGACACCGCCGACCATGTGGAACACTTCCTGTTGCACTGCGGAGATGATGACGTCATGGATCTGCTCTATCCGCAGCAGCTCGCCGACA